TTTACAACGGAACATAGAATGCCATGCCATGCCATCATCATCTTGAATGCCCTAACCAATACGACAAACGAAGATGGATGATATCGGCACAAACCTCGTTTTATACACTAGTGTATATCGCACAACAGTGGCATCACCCAAATTCTTTTGCTGATGTATATGTGGTGTTTATGTGTCAAGCCTTCAATAGCGCATATAGCGCATAACGCGCGCCCATAACTCAAGCCGCTTTTCGATAAAATATCGCCGTGTTGTCCCCCCTCGTCGTTCGTCATAACGAATCTGAATCATATGAACAAGAAACCATGTTTGGCGCCCGCTAACTTCCCTCCCATCATCGCTCGCCGTCGCCTAAAACACAATTGCCAATTCCGTCCTGTCGATGCCCTCCTCGACGAGGTTAGGGTAGTACGGCACCATAGCGTCCGCGCACTGGACGTACGCATCGTTGTACAAACGCCAATATGGTGTCCGCACCTTTCTTGCTGGATGGAACAGACCGGCCCAGACGTAGTTGAGGACCAGTCCCGGACCGACGGCCATCCTGATGGCCTCGATAGCTTCGACGATGCGGTCGATGACGTGGGGACTGGTCTCGAACAGGTTGGGATACAGCAAGTTGAGCAAGTGGACCATGGCATCCTCACAACCGAGACCGACGACACCAAGGGCAATGTGCTTGACGACACTGGCAGCTGTTTGTCTGTGCACTTGGTCTCTGTCGATGAGCGCGTCCTCGAGGAGCGGCGTGACGGCGTAGACGTAGTCCTTGGCCATCTCGCCAATGTACTCGAAGAGGAAGGAGAGAGACTTGAGCACACCGTTCTGGACGTTGAGCTCAGGCACACGGTACTCGTTCATGAGGGCGGGCAACACGGTGAAGGGCGCGCATGTCTCGGCAACGATACCGATGGCGACGGCCGTGTTAACACGGGATTGACGTTCCTGAACGCGGAGGTTGTTCAACAGGGTAGCAAGGACATCCTGAGGACCGATAGCTTTGGCGATGAAACCGAACGTGTTGTTGGCAGCACGTCTGATGCCCTTCTTGTGAGCCTTCAGCATGTCGAGAAGCTCAAAGCAGATACGCATCCATTCGCGAGCGTTGACACTCTCGGGACCGCGATCGGCGATACGACCTACAAGATCAATCGTGTTCTCCTGCACCTTCTCGTGTCGGTTACGAAGAATGGGGGTGAGGCGAGGCAGAAGATCCTTGATAGGAGGCTGCATCTGGCTGATGCCCACGACAGTAACAATGGAGCGAAGGGCACCAAGAATGGAGCCAAGAACCTCGGGGTACTCCTCACCGAGGTACTCGTAAAGGACAATACCAAGCTTACCCATGAGGGCATCCTCACCGCATTGCTTCATGACCATGGCAATGCGGGAGATCAAATCAGCTGCTTGCTGTCGTACAGTAGCTGACTTGTTGTTCAGACGCCAGAGAATGGTACTGACAATCTGAGGAAGGTAAGGCTTGCATCGGGTGCCAAGTGCGTTAACCACCGAACCGAAGCCGTTGAGCATGACGATATCCTCAACGCTCTGTTCCTGGAACGCATGAAGAATGCCATCAATGAGACGTTCTTCCAAACGCTCACCAATGTCGGCCGCACCGAGAGAGGCCACAATCTTCTCGACAGTCTCCACCGTCATCTTGCGATAGGCTTCGCTCTCGTCCTTCAGATTGGCAACGATCCTTTCCAGAATCTCGCTGACACCAACCTTTTGGCCAATGTCAACAGTAGTCTCAACGACCTGACGGTAGTTGCGCTTGTCTAGAGCCATGCGCCGTACCCAGAAGCTCTTAAAGAACTCGTCCAGCACATGCTCCTTGAGGTATCCAGCCGTTACTCCATCGGTGGCGGCGCATTGTGAAATCACCTTTAGCACAACTTTCTTCATCTCTTCATCTGGAGAGGCAAATTCTCGTAGGAGAATCTCCATAATTTGACTGGTGTAATAGTTGGCATAGTCTTCATCCATAAGCGGGATGATGTAACCGACAGCCTTGAGGAAACCAGCCAGACCCTTGCCCCGTTGCTTGCGGGCACCGGTCCAGAGAGGGTTGAGGATGTCATCGAAGCTCTCGATACCGTAGGGGTTGGATGCCTCGGCGAGAGCAGCGATGGCCAAACTGGTCACTGTGCGGACCTTGGTCTGTTCGTCGTTCAGGTTGGGTCCGATACAGTCGACCAGTTGCTTGAGATGGGGCAAGACTGCGCAACCCATCAAAATGGGAATCTGCTGCACAATCTTGACGCCTGTGTGACGAGCTTGCCACGACTTCTTGCTTCGGCACACAGCTCGCAAGAAGGGAAGCAGAGCTGGGATACCCAGTGCCGAAGCAACTACGGCAAAGGCTCTGGCAGTAGTGTTTCTGACGTACTCATCTACGTGGTCAATATCTGGACGCATGACACTGATCATTGTGGCAAGACCAGCAGCCTTGCTGAGGTTTGAAATAATTTCCCGACCCTCAACACGTGCATAGTAGTCCTGATCGATAAGAAGAGGTTCGATAACGACGAGAATCTTGTGAACGTATGGTCGAACCATGTCATCGAGCTTGTACAAGATACGATCGATAACCTTGACGAGAAGATGGCGTTCCTGATCCTCCAGTGTCTTCTCCATGAGCAGGGGAAGGATTTGGTTGAAGAGGGGGCCGGCACCGAAGTTGCGAGCATTGTCTGTCAGTTGTCTGAGCGCAGTCTTTCTCATGGGAGGAGTACCGTTCTTGACCTTTAGGAGAAGTCTCATGATCTTTCTTTCCTTGAGCTCTTCGACGCTCAAGCTCTCCTCATCAGCTCCGTCGGTAAGCTTGCCGAAGTATGCCATATCTTCGGGCTTGAAGAACTGCAGGTCTCCCACACCGGGGATCTCCTTTGGTACCTGCTGGCCCGTCATCCGTCCGCTGTCAGGGTCCTGCATCATGAAGCCCGTTGTTGGGGCCGGAGCCTGCATCAGCTTGTGTGCCGGTGCTCGCACGGGGGCATACCCTGGTGGTGGATCAAGAATCTTGTAACCTTGCTCGGGGCCTGGAAGCATGGCATCCAGCTCCTCGTCGCTAAGCGGCGCATATCGACCGGCCGCATCAGTGCCGAAAGCTGGCTGTACCACGGCGGTCTGGGTAGGGTGCATCGGCGTGGCTAGGCCGACATTGCCAACGGGAGTGGCAGAAGGCGCCTGGTCCCAGCGGGATCGCTTCTTGGGTTCCGCCCCTGGAGCTCCTGGAGCGGCAACAGATGGTGCTTGATCCCACCTGGACCTCTTCTTGGGCTCTGGAGCCGGGGTGGCATCTTCCGTAGAGGCCACATCCCATCTCTTCTTGCGCTTCCGGCCAGCCGCAGCTTCAGTAGAGCCAGCCTCTTCGTTCTCTTTGTCACCGGCATCCTTGAGGGTAGGCTGGTGCTCCTCGACAGGGCCGCCCTCCTTCGTTTTCTGCTCGATGGCCCGTCGTACGCGCTCTTCTTCGCGCTCAAGCTCGCGACGCTCCATGATTTCCCGGTAACTTTCCCCTTCCTCAGCGGCACCTGCCTGGCGGTTGGCAGCAAAAGGGTCGGCTCGTGTAGGGGTCAGAACGCGGTCGAATCGGCGTTTCTGATAGTCGGTCTCCCTGTCGGTGATGCGGTTGCTCTTTTCGCCCCGGCCAGCCAGGGGATCATCCTCCTCAACGCCATCACCGTGTGCGAACTCATCGATCTGGGCTCGGGTGGCGGTGTACTGTCCTACTAGGCGGCGGCCGGAGTCGGCATCTTCCATCTCTTCATCGTCGCCATCGGCAGCGGGCAGGGTGGTGTGGTAGCCCGCAAACTTGTCGCCACTGTCGCGTTCATACAGGTCGGTGTCCCACACTTCTCCCAGCTTGGCTTTGGTGTTGTTGTCGGATCGTTGGTTGGCAGGATCAAAGCTACGCGAACCATTCTTGGCGGCAGCAGCAGCATTGCGCTCCTGCTGGAGCTTCTTGATCTGCTCAAAATCCGAGTCCGACATGGTGATGGCCGTATCCTCCTGGTGTCATGTCAGGTTGGGGTTGTCGTGATAAAGTCCAGCGCGCCGCGGGGGGTGATTGGTGGCGGTAGATAATCGTGAGGTATTCGGACGTGGTAGAGTGGCGCTGCCCGTGGGTTGCTGGGTGGAGTGAACGTAGGTAGGCGACGGGACAGTTGACGTCGTTGACGTTGACGATGGACACTTGTCGTGATAAGCTATCAGAGGAAAGACGATGCGGGAGGCAGAGAGGATGCAGGTGTCGGCTGAAGACTGGCGCAGTGGATGCGGTGCACACGCCTTCCCTGAAATTTTGGCCAGCGACTGGTGACGGGACGTGAGCAAGCGAGCTGACACGGGCTTGGCAAGGCTGCACCTGAAGTTTCCACTTTAAGTGGCGTTCAGACAACATTATGTAAGCAGTCCAGACCTCGACGCGTTTCGATCGCTGTGGGGACTGGGAGCAGGGGAGGAGGGAGCTTCTACTTCCACTGAGCTCATGTGGGGAGCTTCCACTTTCCACAACTTCCATCTCACATCTCATCTCACAACCTCACTTTCATCCTCATCTCGACCGATATGACATCCCAACCTGCACCGCTGCTCTACGCCGAGTTACTTTCAAATATTCGTCAGATATCCCTTGCCGTTTCATTGGGCTCTGCGAGCGATGCGTTTTCGACACGAGTAGTGGTGGCAGCGGATGGGGAGAATGTCGAGCTCAACCACCATGGACAGTCACACACACTACGTCTACCCTCAAAGGTAGCCATTGGCGGCGCAATCCTGCCCATTCAGAGGCCTGGTGCCTCTACGCTCCTCCTGGAGGGTTACCGTTGGGTCAAGCAACAAATGCGGATGCATCGTCGACAGACTCTTCGACTTGGACAGCCACTGATTTAAAAGCCGGGTCCCAAGTCGCCTGTAGACAATGCCATGCCATTGTTGTCAACCGAGATGTCATCAAGGTTTGGAAAGACCTCCCGAGTGAGAACTGGGCTGAGATGATGGAGTTCTGGCACTGCCACAAACCTGATGATCACGATCATGATCATGATGGCCATCATCACCACCAGGACAAGGCAAACGGCGATGCTACCACCGGGCAGAATGCCAAAGCCGACGATACGAGTCTTGCAGCTCGAGGATATGGAGCGAGCTCGGTCATCTCGGCGCAACAAAGTGTTGGGTTTATTGATTTGACAACGCTATTATTCATCGAGCAGGACTGTTCCAACATCACGGTAAGTCCATATGTAGCATGCTCATGACTGGCTTGGTCAACTCACCGTCTCGAATGCGTCCCTCTCAATATTACCAATCGGGGGCATCAAGAAGGTAGCCAAGTCGGCTTCGGCCCCTCAATGACATGGATACCGATACAAATGCCCAAAATTAAGCAAATGTTTGTCGCCTGCTTTTGTGGGACACCGAGCGGTTGACGAACCTCATTTCGGTGACGGGGCGCTTCCAATCGGTGGATGACTGACTAAACCTCCGCATTTCGCCAGATCATTGTCAAGTTCTAAATGCTCTGGGATCAACTGGAGGAACATCTCCTTCTCAATTCCCCGTGCTAGTAAACCTTTCCCAACGTCAGTTAGTGCTGACTACCTTTGCTCTCTCTAGTATTCTCTCTCTACTCCTGAGCATGGATCACCAGATAGGCAAGCTCTTGCTTCAGGCGAAGGTGGTAGTCAGATCCGAAGCCTCAACGTGTTTTGCTCTTCCTGTCAAGCCCAACTGGGCTTCTACAATTTCCGGACAGCCGCAGTCACACTCCTCAAGTGGCAGATCTCCTGCGACTCTGTCTCCAACCTGAGCCCGGGACTAGAAGAGTGTCTCGCCGCGACCCTTATTTCCACCATAGCGAGATCGGGATCCTCAAAGTCACTGTTGCTTCCCATTACAGAGACCCTTGCGACCACAGAGGAAGACGGGGTAGGGAAGGACAAAGTTGTCCACATATGGGTGCTCAACAGCAGTATTGTGTATGCATCATCTGCCACCGAGGCCACCGCCACGAGGCCAGGAGCGGGAAGTGGTACTCTGGCCATCAAGCTGCTTTATCGGCTGGTTCCCCGAGAGGAGGCCGATCGTATGCTGGATTCGCTCATTGGCGATGCCCAGGAGGTGAACCTTCCGGTAAAGGCCATCAATGAGGTCTTTCGACATCTAGACAGGAGCAACTCTCTTCTGCCTACCACTGAACGGGTATTCAAGGAGTGGAAAGTTGGTTTATTAAGGAGGTGAATCCAGTGATGGGAATAGGTGCTCAAGTGGTATATGTTAATGGGTAACATGGCCTTAGCAGCGTCGTTCCTGAACTCAAACCTGGCTCTTTATCCTTTTACTGGACCGTAACGTCCGAGTTATTGTCGTTTGGACCGTGGCATCCGGCTCAGCTTTCGGTAGCATTTCTGCAGCAACTGTTTTCCGTTTTCTGGACTTCGCCGCTGACGTTGTGGCGACGATCTCTTCACTTTCCTCAACCTTGACTACCACTCCTTTCTTCTTTTCTGGTTTGGACACGGCCTCAGCAGTCGTAACCGTCCCTTCCTGGGTCTCCTCTTCGACTTTCACCACTCCCTTTTTCTTTACCCCCGCTGCTTGTTCCGAGAACGACTTGAGGTTCGCAGTAAACAGGACACTCTGCGCCCAACCAGCTTGAGGTCCCCAGGTCTTCCTGAAATGGTCGCCCACGGCCTCATACATGGCCTTGTTGAGCGTCTTGGTCTTGGCACCCCCTTTCCCACCAAAGTTATAGTCTCTCTGTGCAATCTGCCAAACGTGTGTATCGATAGGAACAGACTCTCCCCAGCCGAGACCCATCAAACAAACACAATCTGACACCTTGGGCCCAACGCCCGGCAGAGTCAGCAAAGCTTCATGAGCCTTCTTATACGTCGGTGGGTCCTCATCCAAATCAGCCTTGGAATCACCATCATCAACACGCTCCTCCTTCTTCTCATCTTCTGCCCCTTCTTCTTCCTTCTTCACCTCAACACCAGCAGCCACTCCCAACGCAGGAACCCCCGGATTCCTCAACCTCAGCAACCACTTCTCACCATAAACCTGCGCCACACACCCCGCTGTTTCAGCGATATACTTGGCCCTATACCCAAACCCCAGCTCCCTCAGATGGGCCTCGACCCCTTCGCCCGCCAACGCCTCCGGCCCGGGGAAATCGTGGAACGCTTCACCCTCCACGGTGGCCACATAAGGGCCGTAGTGCGTACACAGCTTCAACACCATCTGGCTGATGCGCGAAATGTTGTTGTTGCTGCTGCAGATGAAGGAGATGAGCGTCTCCCAGGCGTCCTGGTTGAGGATGCGGATGCCCGTGAAGGCGGGCGCGCGACGGGCGAAGTTGGCATCGGAGAGGGACCATTGGGCGTAGAGGGTGGTGAGAGAGGAGGAGAGGGCAAAGTAACTGTGCAGGAGGGAAGGGATGTCGTCGTCGGCTTCGGAGTTTTCATGTTTGGTGGGAGTTGTTGCCCCTGTTGTAGGCCATGTCACTTTGTAGTGAAGATGGGTGGGTTCTTGGCGTAGGGAGATGAGACGGCCTTTGAGGACGCAGTGCCTGAGAAACTGTTAGTTAGGATTTGATATCTAAAAAGGGGAAATTAAATGGTAAGAGAGTCACAGACCATTGTTCATTTATCTTGCGCCATCTGAAAGACTGGCCACATCGAAGTGTGGTTTCGATGCAAAGCTCTGTGAGACTGACGGGCAGTTTGCGCCATTCTGAGACTTTTTGAGCTGCCATTGTACAATCACAGTTTTCGTACTTTACAGATGGGTTGAGAGATTGTGGGAAAGCGGTTACGCCGTGAAACCTTGTTGTGATCACTCAGATGCGAGTTGATGGATTCAATTCAGGTTCTGTTCCTCATGGACCTCGATGCTCCCGTGTCCGGCTCGATCGATAGCGGAAGGAGGCACTGTAAAGTGCACTGCGATAGGGGCCAGGTGCTGGAAGGTTTGTTGCCACGCCAGGGCGTCAAACTCCTTGTGAACGAATGGGTGGACCCGAATGCACACGGGAAACAAAGTGCGCTAAACCAAAATAGGGCAAGCGTTCCCTGCAATAACAGCAACGGACGCTGGAAAAGTTGCAGCCTCGCGATCAACGACGGGACTCAGCAATTGAAGTTCCGAGCAAAGCCACTTCCATTTCGTCAAACACTCCCAAACCCATTTTCCGCTTCTTTGGCGCAACCATCTCGTACCGTCTCTTTTATACTTACCGAGATCTGTGTTGACCATGAACGGGGACACCTATTCCTCCAGAGGTATGTTGGCACTTCTGACCCTAGCTACCCGTTAGAATCTCAAGTTAACCGTGGCGAAACACAGACAGCGGCCGACACGGTTCGTCTCGCGACTATCCGGTAAGTGCACCTCGTATACAAGGTTGGCATCGGTCATTGCTGTTGTCGTAAGCTAACGCATTGCCAGTCCTCAAGACGCGACCGCGATGACAGACGTGACCGTGGAGATCGTAGTGACCGAGGCAGTGGACGCAGACGCTCTCGTTCTCCCGCCGACTACCGCAGCAGCCGACCCCGTCGCGAAGACGGCGACTTCGACGCTTATTCATCGAGTCGCAGCCACCGCGACCGCGAGCGAGAAGACAGATACTCTGGCCGCGACCGTCGTGGACCCGACCGTGCTGAGAGAGAATGGGATCGTGACAGGGGCGCCGACCGCGGAGCCGACCGTGGTGCTGATCGTGGTGCTGATCGTGGTGCCGATCGTGGTGCGGACCGTGGTGCTGACCGCGGGGCCGAGCGTGGAGGCCGCAGCCGACGGGATGACGATGAGGGCGGCCGTCGTCGGGAAAGAGATCGTGACGTCGTGATGGGAGGAGATGATCGCCGTGGTGGAGGCAGAAGGGACAGAGAGGCGGACAGGGAGCGCAGGAGGAGTGTCTCGCCGCCCCCCAAGAAGAGGGAACCGACACCCGACTTGACCGATGTCGTTCCTGTTCTGGAGCGCAAGAGACGCATGACACAGTGGGATATCAAGCCTCCCGGATACGGCAACGTCACGGCCGAGCAGGCCAAGCTCTCGGGCATGTTCCCATTACCCGGCGCACCACGACAACAGGCCATGGACCCGACCAAGCTGCAGGCCTTCATGACCCAGCCAGGTGGGACCGTTAACAGCACCGCTCTCAAGCCGACAAACTCCCGTCAGAGCAAGCGTCTCATTGTTTCGAATATCCCGCCGTCAGCCACCGACGAGAGCCTGCTGGGCTTCTTCAACCTTCAACTCAATGGACTAAACGTTATCGATAGCGTGGATCCTTGCGTCCAGTGCCAAATATCCCCCGACCACAGCTTCGCCATGGTCGAGTTCAGGAACAGCCCGGATGCGACAGTCGCTCTGGCCCTTGATGGCATCACCATGGAGGCTGATGATGCCAATGACGCTGCTAGTGCCGGTGGTCTCAAGATCCGCAGGCCAAAAGACTACATCGTGCCCGCAATCGTCGAGGATCCCAACTATGACCCCGATTCGGAGGTTCCCTCCAACATTGTCATTGACAGCCCCAACAAGATCAGCGTCACCAACATCCCTGCGTACCTCACCGAAGAGCAGATCATGGAGCTCTTGGTTGCTTTTGGAAAGCTCAAGTCCTTTGTGTTGGTCAAGGATAAGCACACAGAGGAGTCGAGGGGTATCGCATTCTGCGAGTATCACGACTCTTCGGTTACATCTGTCGCCATTGATGGCCTGAACAATATGATGTTGGGCGATAGGGCGCTGAAGGTTCAGAAAGCCAGCTATGGCATTCAACAAGTTGCCGGAGAATTGAGTGTTAATGCCATGTCCATGCTTGCTGGTACCACCTCCTTGGATGGCGACGTCAGCAGGGTCGTGCAGCTCCTCAACATGGTTACGGCGGATGAGTTGATGGACAACGACGACTACGAAGGTTTGTTTCAACGTTCCAGTCACTTAAACTGTTTCGAGATGCTAACATGTGCTTTCAAGAAATTCGCGATGACGTCCAGGAAGAATGCGAGAAGTTCGGAACTATTGTTTCCTTGAAGATTCCCAGGCCCACTGGCGGAAGCAGGCAGTCTGCTGGAGTTGGCAAGATTTACATCAAATACGAAAACTCTGACCAAGCAACAAAGGCCCTCAAGTCGTTGGCGGGCAGGAAGTTCGCTGACCGCACAGTGGTTGCGACATACTTCCCCGAGGTTAGCATCGTCTGCTTTGTTCCGGTTTTCTTGACTCGGTTATACTGACACTTACAACAGGAGAACTTTGATGTCAACGCCTGGTAAAGAAAGACAGGCAGTTGCAGAAGGGAAGTGTCTATCTGTATTGAAGGGGGAGCAGTAATTGTGCATGGTACAGCCTGGGTTCATGGTTGATGACGAGGAACAGAGTTAGAATAACGTCATTGGTACCAGGGTTCGGTCATCTCCTTGAAGTCATCGTAGGAGTCTGAAGCGGCGTATACAGATATTGATGGGAGTTTCAGCCGCAGGTACCGTTAGGGCGCTCAAAAACAGAAGTCACAGTTCCGATTCACGCAGGTGTGCTCTAATTGATTGCATGCACATCATAAACCAAGAGAGCTAGCATTGGGGTTACTTCATTATCATTATCCTATTCTAGATGCCCAGGCTTGCTAACCAAACACAAGTTACGGCGCGACAACCGTTGAACGCCAAGTGCGCTCACTACATGCGGTGACGGCCTCAAAACCTCAAGGATAGAAAAGATACTCCTAAATCTGAGCCAATGTTAGCCTGAGCTCATCTCCAATTGTGCCATGAAAAGAAAGGTTGTGAGAGCCAATGTTTCAGAAGTCCGTTTAATTCATCAAGTCCCGAAGGACCTTAACATAAGAGGTACCAGAATAAAGTAAAAAGTGTGTATCATCAGGATAAGGAGGCTCGGAAGGGAGGTGGTGCGAAGGAAGCAGTGAGAACTTACCAAAATGAGTAGAATACCAGGTCAGCCGTCATGATCATGATTTCAGATACTGCCCAGCTTCAGAAGAAGCCAAAATGGCAGGACTGCAATAACACTTGTCCCTGAAGATCATGACCAAATGCTGTCGAGTAGCATGGTGCAAAGTGACCGACGGCCGACCTGGCGATGATTGGAGAAGATTCAAAGTGTGAATCTTCAAAGTGTGAATCTTTGCGGGAAAGGTTTGCTAGGAAACTTTTTTATGCTTGGAGGAGCAGACGCGGGCTGGCGCAAGATGCCAAGCGAGAAAAAGTTCAGGTCAGGTCTCCACTCACGTGAATGTGGGCTCCATTCACTGCGAAATTCACTGCTTGGCAGCCAATCAGACCACTGACCCTAACAGCGCTGACTAAGCATGCGAATTTTCCCAGCCCACAGCGAATATCGCACGACCCGCCCAAACCGCCAGCCCCCGTGGTGATATTTTCTTCGTACTTCTCTGTCGACGACAAGCCAGCCGAAGTCACTCCCCCGACAACCGCAGCACCACCAAATCATCCAAAATGGGCCGTCTTCACTCCAAGGGCAAGGGCATCTCTGCCTCCGCGATCCCCTACTCGCGCCAACCCCCCTCCGTGGCTCAAGACCACCCCCGACGCAGGTCGTCGACCAGATCTGCAAGCTCGCTAAGAAGGGTGCTACCCCCTCCCAGATTGGTGTCATCCTCCGTGACTCCCACGGTGTTGCCCAGGTCAAGGTTGTCACTGGTATGTTTGAATCCCGCGAAGCCCTCGAGAGAATTGGCGATGATGGATGGACGTGAAATGCTGACGGTGGTGGTTCTGCAGGTAACAAGATCCTCCGTATCTTGAAGTCCAACGGTATGACTGCCCACTACTCCGACGAATTCCCCTGAATTTGCACACGCGCGAAGCAAAACGAAATAAAGTCAAATCGCGACGATATCCCTCGATTTTGATACCGGCCCTCGAAACTCGATGCGAATGGGCTACAACATGTCCCGCGAAGCTTTTCCAGCTCTCGTCCGCTAGTTCGCGCGCAGCGTATTAATGCGCACCGTGTGACGAACGGATGATATGGGACATGAGAGCGCCAGACGCAGAAAGAACCGAGAAGAGCTGGGAAACAAAATACAACATGTCAAAGACGCATATGCCTCTGTTTGGTCAGATTGGCTGACAGAGTGATGCTATTTACAGGCCTTGCCCCCGATCTCCCGGAGGACCTGTACATGCTCATCAAGAAGGTAAGAAAGCAGTACCCATTTTCGTTCTCTACGTCATTTCCCAACCAGGTCACTAACGTTCCTGTGACAAAACTAGGCTGTTGCCGTCCGCAAGCACCTCGAGCGCAACCGCAAGGACAAGGACTCCAAGTTCCGCCTCATTCTTATTGAGTCCCGTATCCACCGTCTTGCCCGCTACTACAAGACCGTCGGTGTCCTCCCCCCCACCTGGAAGTACGAGTCTTCCACTGCCTCCACCATCGTCTCCTAAGCGTAGAGCACGCGCCGCGAGATTTTGGTGAAAAAGGGTGGACAGCAGCAGAGTCGAGATGGAGTGATCTTTCGTCGGCTATTTACTACTGGGTGTCTTCTTTTGCAGCATGCTTAGCTAGCTAGCTAGCTACGCGGCATGACGTCTGGTCGATCCACACTTAAGTGAAAAGGACGTTGGGGGAGGAATGGAAAGGAAACTTACATTCTCGGAATCACTGCAGAGAAGGGAGCGTGGGATGTGGTTCAATTTCTTTTGGCTGCTTAACATGCGCAAATCATCTGCTAGTCGGATGTCTAGCAGCACCCAGGATGAAGACGAAGTCATCAACAGAGGGTTTTGTTATGAAAAATACAAAGTCCTCTATCCTCTTGCCTCAACATGCTGTTTTCTCGTTTGTCTCATGGCCATCGTGACGTGAAGCTGTCGTTACCCTAGCCATAATTAATCACTGTCCTCTTCTGATCATGATATGTCACCTCCCCTAGTTTGGTTACGTAGGTCATATCTCCCCTTGTGTTCACCCTTTTCCTGGACGCCAGCGTTTCCTTCTCCGTTTTCTTCCATTGTCTCTCGCCCCTCTCAGACTCACACTTTCATGAGATATCATTCCGCTGGTTCTATTACTTCTCAAGCATAAATTAAACCTATGTTTGTTTCCTCTTTGCTTCCTTTTTTTTCTTTTTGGTGGAGTATATCCGTAGATTCTTCGAGCATCCTGGCATCTGCAGTCTGCGTGAAACTCTTCTCCGCATAGGGTTATAGTAGATCGACTTGATGGCGAAAACGCCGTAGGATACCGATAATGCGTTACAGTTTCTTCTACCGCTCTTTCTATTACTATATCTAGCATCTGCGTCCGGGGTCCTACGATAAGCCCATGTTAGATGGTTAAGGTTTGTGAGACCAGAAGAGGGCGGCGCGTCGAAGTCGAAAAAATAGGAGCAGTAGTCATCCTCTCTGATAATCCTGTCTCATCGGCGCCCGTCATGATGCTGCAGTTCCCAATCCTCTTTTGCTCACCCTTTTCCTGAACACCAGAGCTTCCTTCTCCCAACTCGAAAAAGACTCACTGAATTGTTGAAGTGTCTCCACGGTAGCCTTTTATAAGGAGGTCAGATACCGGCTCCTATGGTAGTTAGTCTAAAAGCAGGTATTGAATAAATAAAATATCCAACAGATGATACCCATGACCAGTGTCTATGCAAGATCCAACTCCTCCTCATCCAAACCCTCAACCTTCTCCAAAACCCAACAACTAGCATACATGTTAACCCTATCAATACACTCCTCCATCCCTTCCCCAGCTGTTCCTCCTGTAGATCTACAGCCCACCCTCCTCGCCTCAAACCCTTCCTCCACAAAAACCCTCACATACCACGGCTCCACGCCCGCACTCCTCAACAACACTTTGCCACCCACCTTCAACGCCCTATTCAAGCTCCTCACTTGCTCTCTCGCGCTCCTTCCTTCTTCCTCGGGATCAAACCAATCCATACTATCCATCACCACCGCCACCGTAAGCGTGCCCGGTTTGAACCTCGCTAACACCTCCTGTATTTCATCCGTATGGATACGTAGCCCATCAAAGGCTCCGGGAGCACTGAGGAGGGAGTGCGCAGCGGGGGAAAGGTAATCGGGGTGGCAATGGGAAGTGTAGTGACCTAACAAGCAGACGAGGTAGTAAGGATTGTCTGTGGCGAGGTGGGAGGCGGAGAGGACGGGGTCCAGGGTGGAGGTTGTGTAATTGAGGATTGCTTCCGCACGAGTAGCCTGTTTGCTCACCGGGCTGGAACGATGGTGGTTATGGTAATCGGACTCGATCATGGCCACTTGGTTCTTGGGCACGCCCAATGCAGACCAGAGAAAGGCGTCGGAGCTGAGGACTAGCCCGTTGACGAGACGGTTGAGCAGACAGGGCCGGATTTTGGTGTGGTAAATGGACCGTTGCTCTTCTAGCGTCGATGCGGAGAGGAGCTGCCGGACTGCAGGGCGGCAGAAGAAGAGGGTGGAGATCCACCGGAAGAAACGGATGGCGTAGCGGGAACCGCCGGTGTCGTAGAGGCCACGGCCCGAAGGGTTGGTGAAGATGTATGCATGGGACAACCAATACTGGAAGGCGCGGCTGGAGAGGTGAGGGGAGAGTCTGGAGATGAGGAGGGTGCGGAAGTCGGGGTGCTTGCCCTCGCCGAAGATCCTCCAGACGTCGGGGTAGCCCAAAGCCGTAAAGGCGGCGACCTTCAGCTCGAGCAGGTGGTTCTGGGATGGGTTGAGGTCGATGGCATGCACGCGGGCCGGACTTTGCATGAGGTAGGAGAGGATGTTATCACCAGCGCTGGTGATGGCTAGGACGACGTCGTCCGGGCCTAGGTTGAGGAGCTCCTTGTCTTCGCGCGAGTCTTCCCAGGTGAAGGCGTAGATGTATTCGTCGTTAAACTGGGTGTGCTTTGGGAGCTGGTCGTCGTAGTAGATCCTCCAGTGGTGATTTTGATAGAAGAAGGAGGGTAAGGGCAAATTGGCGGAGATGTTCTCGATGGCCGTGTTGAAGGCCTTTGAGCGCATCTCTGGCGCTGTGCGGTCGACTGCGAAGGCTAGCGCAGTTGTTGCTGAAGAAGAAGAATGCTTGCCCATTAGACGTGGTGATGACCTTGGAGACTCCGTCGCTATGGCATCGATGTGTTCCACAATTTCGTGTGGTAGACTTGACGTGGAGAACGGCTTTTTGTGGCATCCCAGCCAGATGTAGTAAGGAATAACTCCGAGCGTGTAGTTGCGGGCATTGACAGTTAAGACAGTCCCAAACCGATACTCGAGATAATCCCGACGGGCAGGCTCAAGAGACACTCGGTCAGCATCGAACCAAGATCGCCAAAAGTTCCGCCCGAAATAGCCAACGTGCCGATTGACGAGGCCGCCCGTGTAGTTCCGGAAACCAAAGTCGACTTTCGACTGGGCGTAAAAGTCCACCACGGCAATCAAGCCATGAGGTGCCAACAGAGACTCGAGCGAGTCAGTTATCGAGAAGAAATCCGGCTACATCACACCATCATATGTCAGTAAACTCTGTGCCACAACAAGCTTGGCCCAAAAAAACTCACCATCATCGACAGACTATAAGACATAGTAATCAACTCAGCCCCCGCATGTCGCAGTCGCGGCTTCTCCTCCTCCCACCAACTCGACAGCGAAGGCGAAGAGGGCACAGACCCAGAACCAGCCTCTCCATCACCATCAACAACATCAACATCCTCATAATCCTCAAGCCGGAACTTGCGAGCATCCATACAGACAACCCTCACATTCTCCCACCCCAGCCTGGCGAACCGTTTTCTAGCCACTTCGCAAAGCGAAGGTGAAAAGTCCACGAGTAAACAGTCTTGAAGAACTGCGGGACGTCGACATACTTGGCCATAGCTTCGATGTTCCAGCCTGTGCCTCCGCCCACATCAACCCATATGGGTTTTCTTCCGGTCCCACCACCAGCTTTCTTGCCATCCTGCTGCCCTCCTCCTCCTCCTCCTCCAAGTCCAAGCTCAAACCTATACCTCAATTGCGCAGCCACCAAAGCCAACATATCCTCTCTCCCCTTCAGCAGCGTCCCCCGCGTGGCATCGTAAATGCCCGCTTGACTTCCATAGAACGACTCAAGAGCATCTTGCTGGGTGCCCGTTGTGCCGGCGGTGGTGTGAGGTTTGAGGAAGCAGGAGTAGCAGAAGAGGAGGAGGGATTTGAGGGAGCTTGGGCTATTATCCTCTACCTCATCCTTATTCTCATCCTTTACTACGTCATTTTTGGATGTTGCTTTCTTTGCGGAAGAAGAGGAACCGGAAAGGTTGTGGGAGGAATGGCTGACGGCCGCGAGACAAGCCAAGACAGCTACCGAGGTGATAATGATAGATTTGGTGGTGTTGAGATCTGATAGTGTCCGGGTGACTGAAAGTGATGCTGGTGGTGATATGTTACCTATGTTACCACCAAGAGAAGCCATGGTAGTTAGTATTCTCTCATTGCTGTTAAGCTGTAAGCTTGTCGGTCGGTCGATGTTGTTGAGAAAGAGAAGGGAGGGTCCGACGGTCTGTTGAAGAACCGAAGGAGAACAAGTTAAAAACTGTTGAGTATTGGCGTTTCGATCGGGAGTGATATACTGTTATGTTGTATCTTCTTCTTCTCTCTCTTCACATCCAAAGTTTATGAATGAATGACATTGAAAAAAAAGTGGTTCTGACCCACCTCCACACTTTTGCGGGAGATCCGAACGGACCTCACTGGGGGTGAACCAATCGCACTGCCGGCTTGCACAGCGCTCGGCCTCCCAGAGGGCCCAGTAACACAAGGGAGACAGGGTTCTATGATCCACATGTTCGGTTAGGTTGTTAATTGCCTCTCTTTTTCGTCATTTTCAACAAAACGTCCTCAGGTTCTCAGTTCCTCAGGTCCTCGGGTTTGGGCACGCCCACGGTCGGTTGGAGATGGACGATTAAGCGACCTGGTCGCAAAATCTAAACGAAGGCAATAACATAACATCTCTCGAGGGGTAAACGGACAGAGGGATGGGGATTGAGTTCGTGTGGTCGAGTGGTCCTGTAATCGCCAATCAACCGCCCACATGCTCTGCCTGGCCCATGATCGATCGTCGAGCGTTGCGTCCGGGCGATTCCAATCTCAGGGCTTTTCCATCACCGGGGGCAGGGCAGTCTTGTAGTGAGTTAGGTAACCTGCATGCGTACACTACACACTGGCGGTCCCGTTCCCAAACAAGCCTCAAGTTCACAAGCTCGCTTGTTTCCCTTCCCCTGGCTAGGGCTAGTCTCCGTGGCTTTTGGCCTTTTGGGCTTTACACTATACATACATAAAGCAGGCCTATCATGGTCCCCTGTCCGTCCTAGTGTAGTCGTGATTGTTCGTCCGTTCGGGTCCCTTCCCCCATTTCAATCTGAACCCATGTGAAAAAGACCCCTCATTATATACCTATCCCATGCATCCTGGAAAAGGGACTGGGGGAGGAGAGAGGCAGGGGTTCAGTTCCCCTCCCCTCCGCCCCCCAAATCCAGTTGGAAACCAATCGGGAGGGTTGCTAGGTGCACACGGGTAGGAATTCGTACGATTGGATGGATGGACGACTCATCATCTTTGTGTGTGGTCGCCGGTCAGGGGACTCGGGAGCCGGGGAGGGAAACGACCTAGCATGGGGGAGTAATGCTTCTGGAAAGAGCTATAGAAGCTTTTGGGAGCTTTTCTCGCTTGTTCTGATGGATGCGTGATTTGGATTGTTCTCGGAGAATGATTTCACTGGGAGAGGAATGTGTGTCTTCCAATGTGGGAGGTTGGCGGTTTATCACGCACTACCTTTAGGTATACTTACGGAAAATAGAAGCTGCAAGCGGATTCATGCAGGAGGGAGCATGAGATATTTTGTATTTTGTACAAGCACATCTCAACATTGCTTGCATACCTACCTTCCTCCTATATGCGCAGCACACCAAAGCATGCGCAGGCATTTAGTTCATCCGAGCATTAAGCAACGCGTCTGCAACGGGATATGTAGGTAGAGCGGTAGGTTGGCATAGCAATGCATGCAACTTTGACGGCCAGTGTGTATCGGCAGCTGTGACCTGCCTGCGCTATCTGGACGACATGCAGCAGCATCTCAACGTCAAATGCCTTCACGTTCACAAACGACGAACATTTTGAAAAGCAAAACCTTTCCTCTATATACTCTAACGACACCAACAACAACAACAACAACAGCACCGATCGTTTTCAACAACTCCACCTCAACCTGCAAAAGACAGCTGCCATAGCTTTCATGTTCGCGAAAATGGAGAGGGGATAGAATCAAATAAGACGAGTGGAGAAGGGAGGCACCAAGTAAAGATACTCTCTGAAGCGAGCGGCGCGATGATCATGCAACAAACAACAAACACACAATTGATGTGGAGTTTCTCGCAATGCCAATATAGAAACATTTAGACGGAGAAAAAAATATATATATAAAGCACAAGAAGAAAAAAGTCAAATATCAAAAGCAGTTCATGCAGTCTTGGTCCTCTTTCTGTCCTGTTCCGCGTTCTCTTGCTCTTTCCCACCCTGATAAAAAAAATATTCCGCAAAAAAACACAATGAAGCCGCCCGCCAAAATCCATTCATCCGTCCGCCAGTCCGTCCGTCCGTCCGTGCAATTCCAAGCCCAGTCCAGTTCAACCCATCCGCCCAACATTCCCGTTTCGTCCAACCTATATCCTTCCCCTCCCTGGAACATATGAAATATACGCTTTTTAGTGCAAGTGCTGTGAGGCGAGTTGTAGTAGTACCGGTAAACAGGAAATATGGACAATGATGAAAGGGAAAATTCGAAAGAGGCTCCGCGCTATGACAGTGTTGAAGAGAGAAAATGAACGTTGTCCTTCCCAAAAAGAGCCTGCTATGTGTGGTTGACGCAGGGAGTTTGTATAGGTTAGGATGAGTAAATTCCCTTCTTAGCCAAACATCACTAACATCATCACCACCCACAACAAAGCCGTAAGCAAAAAAGGTTTTCGAACCAGTCTGAAGTTCAACACGCACGAACGCATACATATCGCCCACCCCGAACTCCTCGCCAACCGTTCGTTCGATGCCACTCATTCGCCCAGGCGACGAAAAAAAAATAAGAGTATGGACGATAATAAAAAGTATGGCCGTGTGTCATTACGTCATGAGATCCGACCCTCGAGGGAGAGCTGAACTGGGTATAGAATTCGAATAATTGTTGCCTTCTTCTCCTCCTCCGAGTACACGTTACCGCATCAGTCCGAAGCGTCGTCCTCTGGACTTTCGGGGGCGGCCTTCGCCTTCTTGTTCGGGCCGCCCGAATTACTTTCGGCTTTCCTCTTGGTTCCTCCGGTTGATTTCGATCCCGCTGTTACCGAGGACTGCTCGGAGCCATCTTGCTTTACGTCCCCGTTGGTCTTGTCCCGCTCCATCTGCGCAACCTCATCGGCTGTCAGGAAACGGCCGCCAGGACCACGAGGGCGTCGCATGGCATGGTTGTGTCTCGACTCGTGGAGATACGGCTTGCGTCCCTTATTCGTCAACCGCAGTTGCTCCTCCAGCTTCTGCCTAGCTACTCGGCGCTTCAAGATCCGGTGAAATTGCTTGGCGTTGACATACAAAGGCGACTCCTCAACGGCTCCGGAAGCCATCTCTGGGGACTGAGGTGGGGGCATTTGCTGAGCGGCCGTCATCGGTGGCGGAACCGCAGACCTAGAGGCGTGGTTGAGCATGGCTTGCGCGTTAGGCACGCCGGGGCTGGCAACCTGGCTGAGACGGCGCTGTCCTGGAGGTATGCTGTTCATTTGCTGCGGAGATCGGGGTCCTGCTCTGGCGTCCTTCTTAGAGTTTACACCAGACATTCTAGGCGACTGCTGCAAGTTGGGATCCGCTGCCATGTATGGGTTCGGGTAGTTGGTTCCTGACGCAGCCGCGGTGGCAGCCAGAGCTGCAGCCTGTAGGGGCATGCCATAGTGCATGTTCTGCTGGGGCACGCCGTACTGAGTTTGGTACATGCTGTGACCTTGGGTTGGCGAGGGCTGGTGCTGCTGGGTCTGAAGAATTGGCGATGTTTGCGGTAGGTGCTGGCTCGACGGGGATGTGATGCTGTTTCCACCTGCAGAGCTGGAGTAGGCCGTTTGCATGTGTGGATTAGAATGACTGTTTTGCGCCGGCTGGTATTGGGCGTATTCCATCATATTGAAATAAAGTCCGACTTGAAGCCGTGATGATTGGCGGCAGGCGCGATGGGTTGGTGTTGTTGACGGAGATGAAGACAAGTGATGTCGCGTAGTGCTGCTATGCTACCGAGCTCGGGTAGAGGAATGCTGACAAGAAAGCTGTGTCTGTGGTCGTAACAGGATGTGCTACCAGGCAGACTAAATCCAGGATGGCCTGCAGCTCAGATAAAAACACCAAGCTTCTGTTTTGGGCTCGATGCTGTGCAGTACAAGAGAAGTAACCTTGTACCGGTGGATTGGGCTGGATGTGCACCCAATCTATTGGAGTTGATGCGTTGGCAGTCGATTAAGTGTCAAGGCAAGGCTTGCTATTGGTCGCACACGGCATATGCAAGCTGATGTCGCGGGGCAAATGCTGGGTGGCTCGGTCCTGGGCCGTTTGAGACGAGACGAGAGGAGGCCTGAGTGAGCGAAGCCACGTGAGGGCAGGGTGCTGGCCGAAAACGCCTAGAGGGCTGTGCGATAAAAGCTGATGGTAGCGCTGCAGTTGGGATGACGCCTAAGCGGATAGCGAACACCGGCGTCGGCGGGTGCGGGAACGTCAAGCTTTCGTGGATACTTTTCCCAAAGTCTCGAGTAATTCTAGAGGCCTATCCGGTTTTAAGTGTCAGTTAAAGCAATTCGCAAACCCAAAACGGAAAAAGAAAACAGAGAACAGCGAGCAATGACGATGTGACTGGGCCGAGTCAGTGGTGGGCAAGTTTCCTTTGGCGCCTTGGGCCGGTCAGTTTGATGCGCTGGCATGCATGACGGAATATGCACGAGCCAGGCCCACCCTAGTCGACCAGCTCAGCACACACAACCATCGCCCTCGTCTGGGCCTGGCAGAGCAGCATCGAAAGAGGGAACCGTAAGACCCAAGGGTGGGGGAGAGAAGGAGAAGAGGTGCCAAATCCAGAGGATTGTCTCAACCAGTGAGCGAAGTTGAGGCTGCCATGAAGTCATTGGGCCTCAGCACCATCGTTGTCCCAACGTCCGGGTTGGGAGCATGCGTTTGTGTAGGCTTCGTCCACCTGTTCCCTCGAGACAAAGCAGCGTAGCTGTGAGCGCGACACAGCGAAGCGTGCATTATCGCGAGGTGAAGAAGGCAGACACATCCTCAGCGTCTAACCGGGCCACGGGAAGAAGCACACTCGGCCTAGGACCTCACAGCCTCTCTCGATTTCATCCATTACGTGGATGTGTGGCCCAGCAACCGAAGGATCCATACGTTGTGTATCGATGCAAGCTCAACAGGGCTGGAGTAACTCGATGACAGAAACCGAGGAAGAAAAGGAAAAGGAATGCAAACATACCGTAAGAAAGTCTGACGGCGTCCGAGTTAAGCGACACTTGTCTGTTGCCCTTGGCAGATAAACAGAGAATACTTGGGAGAAAGTCAGCAATACTGTCAGGAGATTTCAAAGACACAATGAGGTGAGTGGCTCATGGGGGAGAGGGGTGATTGAGGATAACAGTTGCCGGTCGCCACGGGCAACAAGGCCAGCACATCCCAACAATCAAAATAGATGGAGAGCCCTAATGAATGACGGGTTGAGGGTACTGTTACGTGCCGCTTCCCGTTTCAGATGAAGATGGTGTGCAGCCCGCAGAGCGGGAGGGGGGAGTGAGTGACGCTTGGGAGAAGCTTGAGGAATCCCAAGCGGAAGGCAAGCGAATGGGTGAAGGAGTGTCTCTCTGTGACTTACACAAAGCTGTTCAGAAGCACGTCTGTGGACGCACCAAGTCTGGACAGTCCTGGGTACGAAGAAAATCCCCGAGAGCTGGAGATTCACGCACAATATGAATGCCCGTTGCCAGGAACGTTGCAAGAGCGCTAGGAAGCAGCCGAGTAATTGAAGTCCGCAGGCGGAAGTTATCACGGGATCTTGTCACGGCCAATGATGAGGCCAATGTCGAGGTTCGCGTTGGTGATAGGTCTTGAAACCAGACGCGATGCTTGATCCGCAGTATTGCTGCGCCCTGAATTGATTTGCTGTGTCGGAAAGGGTCTTTTGGAGGCTTTGCGCTCGGGTTGTGACTGGCTGAAGCAGTGCGGGTATGATAACTCAAAGTGGATATTGGTGTTTCTACTTTGTTCCCAAATCGTCGTCAGTGTGACTGTCGCAGCCTATAAGTTGTTTCCCGAGATTGGTCTCCAGTCTCTTTTCAAACACTCGCGTCCCAAAATGCGATAGCAAGCCTTGCTTGGTCTCCTAATTAGGAGACAGTGTCAAAAGCTCCGCCTTTGTTTACAGATGGGAAGAGTGGGCTGCCCCCCAGCTCCCGTCTCTGGTCGTCATCGAACCCAGAAGACGCCATCGTGATGGCTCTTATCCAAAGGCAATTGACATGATGCAAAGGCGAACTGGCGATTTCAAGCGAGCACCGGGCAGGTAGGTGGGGGGAAGTTAACGAGCAGAAGCATCCAATTGTCATTCTGCTCGGACGACCACGACCACGACCATCATTAAGCCAGGGCCATGTCCTTATCGCCAGCTCTCCGCATCTTGACGAGCTTATGCGCCGGCGTGGGTTGAAGCATCGTCGCCAAGCAGGGCAAGATTAGGATGTGGACGGAATGATGGATTGATGAAAGGCGGAGATGACATGAAATTGAGATAAAATGACAGGGCTTACCTCGATTTCAAGTATGTACAAGGCTAATAAGGCGAGGCCTGGCAGTGTGGCTCTTGCGCGCGAGGGTGGCCGCTGAGTGGTTGAGTTTAAAGCAACGTCTCCTTGGGTTGGTGGTTGGTCGGATGCTCCCGTCTCCAATTTGCACGCCGTCCGTTTGGCAGGGCAGGTTCGGTGGGTGGATTTGGGGTTCGACGTTTGTCTGGCGAGCGGGCTCGTCTGAGACTGATTCGCCGGGACTGATTCAACTGACAGCCAACTGGAAAGATGAAGAAAGTCAACTTCTGCTGATAGCGATATCGATATCGAAATCTCGAAATCTGCGCGACGCGAGGCAGGCAGCAATGACGGGTTGACAGCGGAGTGACTAAGCACGCACGCTGACAGACTTTGTCGAATGAGATGCGATGAAAGTGCGAAATGCGCGTCAAATAGAGTTGCTCAAAAGGTCCCAATTGGACTGCAAAGGTTGCGCAGGAGAGGGCCCGGCAGACGTTGATTTGATAGAATTTTTGGCCTGTTCTTCTCGCTCGAGAGCCTTGGGCAGTGGAGTGGATGATTGGTGGGCTGATTGGTTGTGCGAGGTGAAGGAGGAGAGACGAGGGGAAATGCGAACGATGATTTGAGGGCGCATCCGGACTTCTTAAACTTAGTAATCTGGTTGGATGAATCAGCTGGCGAGTGGGGCCCGCCGGCGGCGAGTTCAGAGACAAGTGGCTGGTGAGGGGCCCAGCTCCGGGGGGTGTCGCTGCACGATTTTGGTGCGGGGCCAGGGCATTCACTCAGTTTGCACTTTGCACCGAGACTTGTGGACGCTAGCAAATGCAAATGGAATCAGAGAGTCGGCAGAATGGTGGAAGAAGGAAAAGAAACGAGAATGGGGCATGTTGTACGGATCTCAAAACAACGAAACCATAGGTACCCAAAAATGATAACCTCAATATCTCTTTGGGATGAATGCAACAACGACGAGTATAACATCGACCTGTCTCCCAGACTTTTTCTCACTAGCGACTGGTATCTGTCTGATATCTGGATTGTGACGCAGTGTGAATGGAGAGGTTGGGTGCCGTGAGCTGGAGTTTTAGCGAGACATGATCGGTCGGATAGGCAGAGCCGCACACAGCAGGCTGTGATGGTTCGTGTCGAACCCGACTTTTCTTCACACGGTTCAACTTCCCTGGTGAGGAAAAAAAAAAAGTGATAGCCAAAGGTGCATATCGCCGGGGTTGGACTACATGCTCCGCGGACATGGCTTGGATGGTAGCGCGTTCAACGTCCAACGCGTCTCCGACTCCTCCTTTCTAAGTATTTATGGTTAAAAACGATCTGACTCTCTGCCTATCTCGAGGCTTATGGTTTTGCAGAAATAAGATGAGAATAACAATACTTCCCAGATGCTATGAGAGCGTGTTGATATGGCCAAATCTGAGTTCCAAAGACTATTCAAAAGATCACAACATGTACAGGCTGGTGGTTTTTCAGTAGCCTTCTTTGATCGACACACGCCTCTATCAACTTCGATGCACTACCCGACAAGACGGACAGCCCCCGGAACTACACATACATAACAAAACATGTTGTCGCGCGAACTTTGTTGAGCTGTAGGTACATCCGCAAGCCGCCTAAATTTAGTCCGAGCAACGTCACATACGAAGTAGGGCTTTTTGCAAAGTTAGGAGAAACGGCTTCCGTCGCACAGTAGCGTACCGGAGCATAACAACACCTCTCGCCAGGTTGAACCGGCGGCCTTGCCACGCTCATGCGGCGGTTCGATTTTGCGGTGTTGAAAAGATACATACATCTCGTATGATCAACAGCCGTCGATGATGGCATTCCAGGTAGCGGCTAACACGATGATGGGCCCGTCTCCGGTCCTCCGGACAGTCCTCTGATAATGCAGCGTAGCTAGCATGAACACGGGCGTCATTGTGAACATCTGGCAAATATGGTTGTTGATTGATGAGCGCAGGGTCGGTAGCTTGACCCTGGGCTTTGCCACGGAGCGCATTCGATTGGGGAAGAATGGAAAAGCTTGGCCATGTTTCCAAGTCCAAGGCGCCCTCTCGATGCCCAGGAGTGCCAGGCCAAGAGGACCGGGGATGCAGGAAGCAGCGAGGCCAACTCATCGGGAGTTCCAGCCTCCACCCCCCAGCCCAATGGAAATGTCGGTGTGGACCACAACAGCAGACGTCAGAAACCAGAAACCGGGACTCTGCTGGCCCGCTGGGGCCTGATCATGCTCCACCCGTGGCCTCGTAAACCCCCCGACGCGACCCCGCCGGACAACACTTGACCGGCCTTGGTGGCATCTGTCAGACTGTCATCCATCGTATGAAACTCGATCGATATGGAAGATCCATTCTTGGGATTTCCACGGGAGATAGTGCACTGGAGAAGGACGAGAATCAGAGACTCTGGCTCTTTTTAGGCTTCACAAGAGGCACGCGCCGTGGTGATGCTCTTCTCGCAAAAGACGACGCTGCGCCGTAAGCCGGCATTGTTTCGTCGGGGGGGGTGCCCTTTGGGCTACGTGTTCCGTGTGCCGTGTGCCGGAAACGAATCTGACTGGATTGTGAACGAAGCTGTCCGCTGTGTTATTAGCAAATTCCGGTCAACAAAAGAACATTGATGTCACCGTAGCCGTGTACCAGCGAGATATCGGTACTACGCCACGGCATAGGCAGAATATTGATAGCAGGGTACAAGGCTGGCTGACTGGGTCGCATGTCTTTGATCCGCGGTCAGGTGATGACACCATGTATAATCCAAACACTTTTCCTTTTGCGATTTCGTGCGGGGTGTTCTCGCTGTGTCCTTGACTCCCGTCCATGTTGCCCACCGGTCTTGGCGTTAAGATTCGGGACTTTGCGTTGGGAGGTGGTGGCGGCTCGGAAAGATGGGGAACGATGATTCTCGTCCTTCGTTGCAGGTTGCGGGTTGCGGCTCTCCGTGCTGCTTTGTGCTTGTCCGATGAAGTCTCTGGAGAACTCGTTTCAATTTCTCTCAAGTGTCGTTTGATGCCAATGTGTTGCGAGAAATGGATTTTACTGGCTACAAATCCACGTTGTTGACTGTTAAATCTCCGGCGTCAAGGCCATCTGCACCTACCGGCGGACCAACTGTGACTCGGGAACTGCCGGCCGTGGTTTCCCCAGCATGCTTTCGTTGATGTGGTTCGCTCGGTTGCTCCCTTTCCAGGCCCAAAGTTGACTCTGATTCTGTGACCATCACTGTCAACAGCTCTCAGTCATGTCAGCCAAACATCCTGTCACCAAAGACAAGCCAAGAGAAACAACGAATCAAACAGCAAAGGTAGGCGACGGGAATTGGCGGCCCTAATGGGGCTCCGGGGCCCGGGCCTCTGCCGACTCCACTCTTTGGACCTCAGCCTGCCGGCGATAAGGTGGGGCGGGGGTAGGGAAGATCCCTTGGCTTCTCCGCATTCCACTTCGACTGATTGTGCACCCCTCTCGAGACACACTCACTGACCCTGCATCACCTCATCTGTGTGCAACAACATCAGCGAGACAAATGACAATACTCCAGGCTTCCTTCGGCCCAGCTTCCTTCACCATGTGGTCGCACAAAAGTCATGTCCGGTAACATGGAACTTTCTATTGTGTACCTATTCTGCAACGGACCAGTCCGCCACCACAGAGTCCGGGCCGCTATCACAGCCCATATCGCGGCCCAATGGCTGATCATGACGCCCCAAACACTGTCGGACAAAGACAACACTGACGGCCACCGTCGACCGAACTTTCCATGCCGCTCCAGGACACCGGCCACAGGGCGCATGATACGCAATCGAATTCAAGTTTATGCGGAGTTCAAGCAAGACTCTAACCCCATCCCTCTTGTGCCTGTGTGATCCTGCCATGCTGTCCTAGAGGCTGTTCCCGACTTCCCGCTCGTCTCCCGCTGGCGCTAATATACGTACCTACATATCAGATGGACACTACCTATCCTCATAGACACTCACCATCAGCAAGTGCAGTGCAGGGCAGGAAGCTAATCGTGCACGTCAGTCATGGAAGCACGGCTTCCTTCTTTGCATCCACTTGTCATCATCCAGTTCCCAATTCCGCAACGAGCTACCCCGGCCCAACTTGAGCTTTCGGGCGAATGGTTGACAAGCAGTCAACTTGAGCTCTGCTATTCGACGCCCGGGAGCCTCATGGTACCCCATAAACAAGCTGCCCCTTTCGGTTTACGAAACGTCAATCTTCCTGTGTCATGTCATTTCTCGGGTTCACACCTCTTGCCGAAGCTTTCAAGAATCTTGGCTATCGAAAGCGTTCCCAAAGCTCATATTGCCCCCCCTGCTCCATATGGGCATTTAGAGCATTCTACAACTTCCTCACTGTCACCTGTCACTTTGATGATCCGTCGTTGGTGACAATATCAGGGATTCTTTAATGACCACGAGGCAAGGCCCGCAAGATAGCTTGCTCGCTTCGAGCCCCAGCCGGAGCTGTCCTCGTTGTCGTCAATACATAATAACCAACTCCCACTGAAGCTCAAGACCCTGAAGGTTCACCTCTCTTTTCTGGGTCGACGAGGGGGGAGTTGTGATTGACCAGTGTGACCAAAACGTAACGATTGACAGTAAGCCAGTCCTGTTCTGGCGAGATGCCGTCAGGGATCGAGGAGCTTCGCCGGGCCCTGCGATGCTACTGGTCCTCACCATGATCGCCTCAGACATCACGTCTTGGCCGCTCAGGTCCGCGAGGCTTTCATCACATCGATATCTCCACAGGAGACCTCGAGCCTTGATCGGTTCCTGAATGTTCACGAATATTCAATCGGATTTGAAGTTGGACATCAACGAACTTGTCGCTGCCAACGAGTTAACAAGGAAGGCTCTTCCGTTTTGCTATGAGCAGGGTCGGTCTGTGCGTGGCGTTGGCTACGTTTGCAGATTTCCTCAACGGCCACTTTCATGTGCCCAAGGACACTTGGTAATTTCCCTGCACGCGACTATCACAAATATGAACTCTTTCCATACACAAGCGAGTTCTTCCATGAACCTGCCTCTTAGCCGTCCCGTTCCCTTGATTATCCCTCCTGTCACCTACACTGGCTGGGTGTCTTCTGAGAGAATTCACTGTGTCGGGCAGTTCGCCAGTCTTTCATGTCCGATGCCATTTGGCCTAGCTAAAGAGCCAGTCATGTTGATGTTGGCGTTCAGTTGCAATACTGGCAAGCGTACAACAATCCATGAGAAACAAGTGTTTACACCTCTGCCGGCATATAACTTGTTAGCTTGGTACCGCCATCGGACATAATTTAACTGGCCGACGGTGGGAATACTAGTCATCTTCTGTATGAAGAATAAAGCTATCGCCACTTGGAAGTTTCCCACGCTAACAAGATAAATGCCGGCAGAGGTGTACTGAAAACGAGTGTCTACTAAGCTGCTGTCAGCAATGTATTGACCAGTGGACCACGAGCCCAAGCTCGCTAGTGCAAAGCCCTTATCCGCGCAACGAGGCAGAAGCAAAGTGCTGAAAAGCCGCGAGCCCCAAACTTAGTTCCCGCCAATAACTCTTCCAACCGCCGTCCGTTTACCAGGCTTCCACGTGTGTTTTTCTTCTCTCTTCCCGCATGGTCCCTACGGCCAGCCGGGGATCAGGCCACCAACCACCCATCCACCCTCACTTATCAAACCATCGAATGATCACGCAGAAAGATATCGGAAACCAACCACCATGTGTATACCGGTTCCCACGCCAGAAACAGAGAGCTCTGCCGTTTCTTCATCTTTTGGGTCTTGACTAGGTGGTTGGGTGGCACGCGGAGATTTGGGGAATCACAAACGAGAATGTGCAACGAAAAAAAGAAGCGGAGTGGAGGTGTTTGTGGTAATCAGGCAGGCAGCTTCAACGCTGTTATTCCACCTCTAATCTGAACTGGCACTGTGGTTGCCGCTATCGCTAGGTAAGGTAGTTTCATCCATCAAAGGAGGTACGGTAAGCTCAGGCGAAAAAAGGGCCGAAGAGGCTTAAATCTTGGACATCAACGACGACCTACAACAGCGGCAATAACAAGGATAACATGACAAACTTCGGAGATGAACGATAACCGCCATGGCATATACCATCCATGGAGATGTCGCGTTGCGGTTCGGAGACTCGGAGATGAAGAAGCCGATAAAGCATGAGGATTGGGTTTCGGACGTTCAATGACGGGGTATGCTAGCCTATCGATGGCTGTGGTTGGTTGGTCTGGTTGGATGATTTTGGAAACCCTTCCCCAGGAAACCCAAGAGAGGATGAGAAACAAGAAGGTAGGCGGGTATTTCTGGAGTCGGATACCAGATACCGGATACCGGATATCGGATGTGTTGGATTCACGAAAACAACTTGCGCTAGGTACATAACATCACTCGCTTCAGTTAGTGCTTCTCTTCCGTCCCGAGGTCCCGGTTGCCCGTCCCTTTACCATGTAAGTACCACTGTTCCAACCCGGACTCCGTGGTCTACCTAGACGGGTTGGGTATACAATATGGATATCACAGTTGCCCGAGATCGAGTATATAATCATCACCATCATCATTATGGCCAGAAGAAAATTAGCTTAAGGAGAGTAACGTGGCTGTCTATCTACCTAGTAGCTATTTACACTTGGCGCCACTTGGCGGTAGAGGTACGAAGGGGTGTTATTCGGTTTGACGTGAAATTTCGGCGCCGAGATTATTTGTATCTACCTAATGAATGACTGACTGATACATCAAGTCTACTTTTAGTAAATAGGTAGACTGGAGGCCGTTTGGTTGAGGGATAGACAGGTACACCCACTTACCCACTCAAACTGAACACTAAAATTGTGCTGTTTGAAAATGTAGCAAGATCATTCATTGTCAGATGACTCCGGACTTTTCGGTCTCAAACACTTTAGGTTGAGCCAGTTCGGTTCCGAACATTTTTTTTTGGTTTGTGCTTTCGGATGTTGAGGAAGAGTCCATGGCTTCATTCAATGCAGTGTAGAGGAGGACAAAGCAGGTTCATACCATAATGCCCGCCCGACGTTGATTCGCGAGTAGGCAGATTGCATCTACAAAGAATATTCGTTCGACTGCACATGAGCAACAGAACCTGAAGCATTGTCAAGATGCTTCATGGTAATGTCCCGTCGAGGAGGGTTGAGTGGCTAATTCGTTGTAGAAATGGTCTTTGTCTCGGCGACTTCCATGTCGTCCCGTCCTATCTGTAGAGGGAATGGGGCAGGAACGACCAAGCAGTTGCTTCCTTAATTGACTGTTCGCTCTTACCAAACTTGCAAACTATATGCTTGCTCTTTCCCAGATGTTTTCTCAGATGCTCCGTCTCCATCGCCTCATCGCTATTTCCTGTCTTTCCTTGGACCACAAATTTGGGGAAGGAGCGGAAGTCGCGATGGATTTTTATTTTCAAGGCGGAGACTGCGACCTAGAGGTACCTACATTCCAGGGAAGGGCGGAGGCTGCGTGAGCCTTTTCTCCTTCTACTGTAGGCAGAATTATGACATCCGAGACTCGTCGCTTTACAACAAGCGGCTATGTCTTCACTGATCATTATTAAACCCGAACACGAGTTTCCCGATGCCAACGGCGAACTGGGTCACCACCTTATGGTTGACCCGGGTGGTGGTAGTAGTAGTCCACTCGAAATTTTCTAATATCATCAACCCAGCCCAGCTATCAACAGATTTCATGGAGACCAAACTGATACTTTTAAGCCTGGTGTTGTGGCTTTTGACCTGCACATCAGCCTAGTCTAGTCTTCAGTCTAGCTCTACGTAGGCCCCGTTGGGGAAAGACTTGCAGCTTTGCCAGATGGAAAGAAAGAAAGAGAGTACAGCAGTGTCTGTGTCAGTCCCGTCGTCGTCAACAAACCTTGAGATAAACTAGGAGGAGACTCTGACGAGTTAGTTGCACAGCTTGAACCTTCCCGTCACCAGGCAATTCCAATCGGCTATTTCGGGTTGTTGTGGTTGTCACCACCCCATCACGCTGATTTGATGATGATGATGAATCAAGAGGGGGTGTCAGATCTTGCCGAAGCGCCGGACGCCGGACGCCACACGCCCTATCCAACGACGCTATTCATTGGCAGAGAGGGTCAGGTGTGAAGAAACAACCTTCGCCCGTTCCACAACTTTCTCAAATCCCGAAAATGTCAGAAGAGAGCAGAACAGAGCAGAACAGAACAGACGGGGAAGTCACAAAGATGTAGAATAGAAATATGGGGAGAGTTGAATGACTCCATAGTAGCACTTCACTCTCTGAAGAGAACCACTCCGCCAAGTCCGATCGATAATTGGCACCTGACGGAGTAGGTAACAAAGCTAGCTGAGTACGAATAGGAGAGGAGAGGAGAGGAGAGGGACTGACTAAGGTGACTAAGGTAGTCAAACAGTTCCATCTGCTGTGCCTCCGTCCAGAGCCTCGTACCAACGCAAAGGACTGTGCATGTTGTGTATGCTAGAGGTATGTATACTATGTATGTATAAGATGGTCGGAGCGGAATAGACTAGACTAAACCTGTCTAGTATGGTTGGTAGAGATGTGTGTCGGTTTGTCCTTCTCGTCGTTTATCACTTTGTGTTGCTTCGAATTATCCACTCGGATGGAAGCAGCTGACGTGATCTCTACGTTTAAGACTACACTAGATGTGAATCTCTACCGTAGAAGCTGGTTTACGGAAAGGGCTGGACTGGGCACTGTGTGAGGGGAAGTGGAGGATTGCGGTGGAATTGTTCGGTGTTCGTTCATCAAAGCCGCAAGACAGTAAATGCGTTCTCTGCGTCTTGTCACTATGATGAAATTATGTTTTCGCAGGCGAGACCATAAACTGGCTTTTGCAAGTTTCAACCACGAGACAAACCTAACTGCGCCTTGCAACCATAAGAACAGCTTGAAAGACGAGGTATAAACTAGTAGAGCATTATGAAAACGCAAGTCTTGTCTTGGGTCTCCATCGGCCACTGCTATGAACAAACGCAAAGAAAAGAAATCCACAATTTCAGCAGGCATCATTGAGTGATGATGTCTGAAACTGGCCAGAGAATACCCAAGACGAGATTTCATTTCTGGGGAACGGACAATATCCATGTGATCTATCAAGATACTATGGTAGGTATTACTGACATATGGGCAGCCAGATAGGCGGCCGTATCGAGCGGGCCTTCTCAGGCGGCCACCCGTCCTGACCACTGCCCAGACAGAGATGCTTTGGTGTTGCGCACTTGCGATGACCCCAAGATAGGTAGTGGTGACTCGGATGAATTGCCTCACCAACGAACGAGCCTCCATGCCGATCTACGCATACGGGGCCAGATTGCCATGGCAGGCTGGCAGCAGGCGCGCGCTCTAGAAGACTGGGATAACAAGTTATACTCGCGACTTATAAGGAAGGTTGGTACTGAAGAGCGCGCGCTCAAATAAGGGGTTCGAGAGGTCGTTAACAACAGCCAATCGATGCGAAGGTGTCTAGACTTTTTCATCCAGGGTGGCCAGATGTGGAAGTCCGGGGAGATCAACCAACAGCAGTCCCGGTAGATGGTTTCTTTCATACGCAAAAGTTAAGCGCATTATCAGCCGCGCGCCGTGTTGGTCGGTCCTGGACAAGACAAGATCCGGCCTTCGGGAAGGCGGCCTCTCCAAGGATAAAGTACGGCTGCAACCGCAAAGCTACTACCGGGCGAACTGGCAGCCGCTTGGCTTTCAGGAACAGCGAGGCGTCGCGACGAACGGAAGCATGAGCTTGTGTGGTCTTTGGCGATAGCAAAGTCAAAACCAGCTGGCGCGCGCTCCCGGTAAGGGGCCGTTTAGACGCGTAGAAGCTGGGGAATGAAGTTAATCCCGCGAGGCTGGGGAATGCCAAATTTGCATACTGATACGGATACTGGCGTTTCGAAAAGCTGGCAAGAAGCGTCTATCTTGGAAGACGGCTAGTTGGCGGTTAGGTGGCGCGGGAGAGAGACGCATGCATATATAGAAGAGAGTGCAAGGGCGACGACGGGAACGGGAATAGCATCGCCAACAACATCAACAGCCCAGCTTTTCTTTGTCAGTTTCGGGAGTCTTGGAGTTTTGATAACTTGCCCTTGCCGTTTCTGCCTGACAGATTGCTCTTTCCATTTTTATACCAGCTCATCTCCCTTGGCTTTAGGTTGATCCATTATTTCGTCTGCCGAGACTTTCCATTTTTCTCAAGTCGCACCTTGCCGTCTTCGCCACGACAAGTCGCCTGGATTTTTCCCTTCTCATTTCGGGAGATCATCCGCTTGTCGACGATTTCTATTTTCCCGTCACCCACAATACTTACCAGCAACACGGTTCTCGGGCAACTCCACCCATCTTCACACGAGACATCGAAGCTGAAGTGCAACTTCCACTTTTCAGGTGTTTTTGTCGGTATGCTAGCACGCGGTAAGCCCCTGGCCAATTAGCGGCGTCGGTGACCCCCTGTGCTAAGAATATGAGCTTAGCGCTCTGGTGCTGCAGGTTCTAGCACAACACCACCAATCACATCCCGTGTCTCGCCGGCACCCCATTTCCTCCCTCCTGGGCCTTCAGCGGTTGAGGACTGAGTACCGACGGATGCCCATCACGATTCACCTCACGATCTCGCAGCCAGCACCACTTGGCCATCTCTAATCCCCTATACTATACCCGAGCTCGTGGCAAAGACACCGGAAAACCCGGGCCAAGGCGTTTCGTTTCTTCTTCCCGTCTTTGCTCTGTGATTTGGGTTGTTTCAATCACTTGCCAATAACTCGCAATCCACTCGGAAACTCCCCTTGGGAATCACCACTTTTAGGACAGTCGATCAAGACCCCAGGCGCTGCATTTCCCACCTGGTGTTCTTTCTGGATTCCGTCGTCGGATCGCGGTATTGGATCTTTCTTGGGCGCTTCCTTCTTCTCGAGGCACACAGAGCCTGATCTGATCAGGTATCTTTGACTGCGCAACTGCGTAGAAGACTACCTACAGGGTAATCCACCGGACTTGTGTAAGTCTCCATCCTCTTTGCCTTCCGCGATACCTTCATCAACCTATCCCATTCCCCCAAACGTATCCAGACCAAGCAAACCAAGCGAAAGCTGCCAGCGCACCGCACGGAGGAAAAAACCTGGAGTTCTGCTGGATGTAAGCTGCATCCAGCGTCACACTAAAGCATACGGCGAGCATCTCAGCACATTCACAGCCGCCTTGTCAAGGCCCTGTCAAATCGCTTGCCGCCGTCGTCCACTTTGAACCCCTCTGACTGGCTGGTCCGCGCTTGGCTGCAACTTCACCACCTCTGCTTCACTCCTTCTCTCAATACCTTAGCCCTCTCATATCTTGACAAGTTGCTGCTGGTGGCGTATACACTACCTCTAGCACTTCCCGCTTCTCCTCTTTTCACCTTGATCCTCCCGTCCGTCCATCACCTGTGATTCGAACCAACTCCCTGGACTCGAGTTAACAAACCATCCTCCCTAGAAAGCCTAGCTCAACCACCCCACCTGGTCTTCACAACGGGCCCGACCAATCACCAAGCTCTTCAAAGTCTCTTGCCTGCCTTCCGCTAGCTCCAAGTGCTAAAGAACAGAAACAGCGGGACCCTGGAGCCAACCCTGGGGCCAAACCCACTGCTCCGGAAACGAACAGGGACACCAAGGGAGACCAGCATCACACGCCGGGGTGCTCATCCTTCTGCGGCCGCGGGGATTTGTTTCTAGCTTCGCTTGTTTCGAGTCCGACTGCTGTAGCACACCCTCGTCCATCGCCTACCCCTTCACATCATCTTTACCGCCTCCGGGGCCCTCACTTTGCTCAACCTCTTCATATAACCGTTTGCCCATCACCTCCTGCACGCTTCCTGCACTCTTTCCCCTCTCCACCTACCGGCTCTCTTCCTCCATCGCTACAAGGCAAGTCAACCGGTGGCTCACTACGCCATACGATTCCTCAACATCATCTCCAACATCAACAGCCAGCCTATCAGCCATCAAACATGTCTACCAAACCAGTCTTGAAGCTGTCGACTCCGGTCACAGCCAACTTCCCCAATATTCCCCGACCAACAGATGAGCTCCGCTCCGCTGTGACACTTCCTTCGGCTCTATCAGACCGTACTCCTCTGTCTGCCATCTCGCGAACATCAGCTTTCCGCGATCCTCTATCGGCACTTCCTTCAGCAGGCCTTCGCTCCGCTGGGCCATTTAGCGCAACCCTCAAGATGGATCACGATTTCCAAAAGACACCCATTACACCACCAGTCGCATACCTCGACTTTCTCAAGTGCATGCAACTCGTCTCTCCCAGTTTTGCCTCGCCACCGCAAACAGGAAAGGCGCCTCTGAACCGGACGAGCACCGCCAGCAGTCTCAGCACCAGCAGTACCAGCAGCAATGATTCAGAGTCTTCGATCGATTCGGCCACTACGGACGGCTCTGAGAAGGAAAAAGAAGAACAGATGGAGACCGCGCCATCAACAGCTCGCTCGGATGTGAGCTGCCAGCCCGAAATCAAGGTCGAGGCCGAAGAGGAGGAGGACAGGGAGAATGCCGACAACGAGAAGCAAGGAAAATCCAGACCTGCGCCCATCACCATCTCTCAACCTCCGACTCCCCACAGCTCGCTCTATCCGATGTCAGCCCCAGCTACCGGCGCTGCGGTATTCCCAAGCACCAAGATCCCTCCATCACCCGCCATCTCTACTTCCGCACTCTACTCCCCACGAACACCACTCAGTGCGGCATCAGTCCGTTCACCCTTCGACTGGGAGGCTGCGCTAAAGCTGAGGCGATTTGCCGAGGTTTCTAGCCTCAAGCGTTCTGCGCCATCTGATGCCCCTGCCGCGAGCACGCCCACTTCTGTTCCCGCAAAGGAATCGCGATCCAGTATACGCCACATCCGTGAGGTAGTTACAAGAACCGTGACCTACACACCACGAATGGCGCCTGCGCCCAAGGGAAAGCGAAGAAAGATTGACGCCGACACATCTATCAAGTCATAAAACAGTCAAATCATCTGCGGTGCTGGTCATCACCGCCCACCTCATCATTGCCATACTACTACCATTGCAGAACAACCTGCCTGGAGCGGTGCGATTACAAGACATATCACAACCTACTAATCAACGAGCCGACAATCCATGCTTAGAGGAGCCAAGAAGGGGAACTAAAATGAGGGGATGCAGCTTGCGCAAAGCTACGGGTTGTCATTTACGAATGATGCATAAATCAAAGGAGTCAAACGGAGTTCATCGGCGTTGCTGGCGGCGTCCACCACTATGGGAGTTGGTTTGTATTTTGCGGTCCGAACGGTCAGGTCGGAACTTGAACCACGATACCACAGGAGGAGTCTTGGCTTGGCTTTTTGTCAGCGAATTTTTAAAGGGATCTTTGAAGCATAGGGAAGGGATATTTGGATTTTGCGCGAGGATGATGAAAGACAACCAGGGTCTGGTCGAAGGCTACTTTGGGGCTTTTGGATCCAGCCCAAACCCAATTTTGCATAGTTACTACAATATGAATCCTCGGCGACACATGTCGTCGGGTCTTGAACACACAAGAACATTTTGCCACGTTTGATCAGCATGTCTGTCGATGATCCGTTTGTTTTTCTCGCTGTTTGTTGACGGCTTGCTACCCCGCGAACGGGAAGAACAAGTGGCCGCCTGGATGGCCGGCCTGGCTAGGTCGCGATGTTGGAGGCCTTTAGAAGGTACGTACCATATTGGGCGATAACCACCACATAAAAATTCAACATTTTCACTTCCCACTGTTTAGTGCAGCGTGGCTCTCCATAGGCGCTTACCTAATGTACCTGACAATGACAGCGACAGATGACCGAAGAGGGCCAGCACCATCTTGGGAGTAGTTTACAGGGGACCTGGAGGTAACATATCGATAAACCGAGTGTTATTGATGGCATACATGGTTCGTGAAATTGAACTGGCCCTGAGCAATGTTCTGCTGATCACCTTTTCACGGAAATCGGGCCAGGAATGGCTCTAGCTAGCATCACGAGTACCATCAACAACTCGTTTTCCGAAGCCTTTCTGAAATCTCTTGAGTCTTGATTACCTACCGTATCTACCCTGTAGTGTACAACGTTCAGTGCATTCCAGTGCGTCCTTTTTCTTTTTTACTCTAACTACTCGTGTGGGCTCGAAACGCCTTTCACACCCCTTGGCTCGGCCAAGGGGTGTGGTACATTGATTCGCAAATTTTTGGGACTTCCATCGACCGCCAGCTTAGGAGGACGCCATAAGTGCCAAAAACCGGCAAAGCTTGGACCACACGAACGGTACTTCGCTCTGACACCCAATTTGGCGGACAAGGTATTCGCGAATCAATGCGCATTTGCGATTCAATGTGCCAGACCCCCATGCGCCAGCATGGGGTCTGAAGGGCGTTTCTAGCCCAGACGAGTACCTACCACTACCACAAGTTCAGTAGTGTATCGAAATCCACCACCCCAACCACTTCACTTTCCCACAGGTTTCCCACTGGTCTCCTAGCGAAGCAGGCTCTCTCCCAAGGGAGCTCGGCGCTTAAACCCATGTCCCCATCCCATCGAGCATCAACCTCCCGGACGGTCAGTGGTCGAACCCCTGTCTTATGTCTACCGTGTCGTGCAGAACGGGGGGGGCCAAGTCCCTCTGCCAGCAATTTGATTGGTCAACAGGGAATCACACGATGATGGCATTGGTTGGGATGGTGTGGATTTCTTGTGTGGAAGGGCGCTTAGATCCCTGTCTAGTCGGCGACTGGATGGGTCTGGCGAGACAGGGGTGGGTGGATGGATGGATGATTGGTGAGACGTCACAGGCAGGTTCGAAGTTCGGAGTTCGAAGTTCGAATAGGTTCATTCGTTGATGGTTTACGTACTCTAGGACTTGGGACTGGTAGAACTGGGACTGGTAGAACTGGGACTGGTAGAACTGGGACTGGGACTGGGACTGGGACTTGACACAGGTAGGTAACAGCGTGACAGCGCGGCGATACTAGCAACCCGTTCCTGTTCGCAGTTCGGATCCCCCTTCCCTTCCCTTCCCTTCCCAATCCAGAATCAAGAATATGACTGGTTCGCCGGGGACGGAACCACTTTCTCCATCCCCAGCCCCAGTGAGTTTTCGTTGCCAGATTCGCCTTGCCGTGCCTAGATGCATTCCACAATCTTAGAGGCACTTCCGGAAGGGTAGGGTAGGTAGGGTAGCTGTTCATGCACGATCCAAAGGAATTCTCAAACTGTGAACTCTGCAGAAAATTTGTGAAATTGCTATTTTGACTCTTTTTTGCTTCCTCGATTCCATCCTTAGGGCGGCAAGCAAAGCAAGCAAGCAAGCCATGGCAAACCATGCGTATGTTGTTTTTTGGCTGTTGCAAGGCAGGCCAGAAAGGACAAGACAAAGTAAGGCGGAAAGTGAAACGCTCGTCGATCTGAAACCGAATCTGCAAAGACAGGACAGGGGGGGTCCGGTCCGGTCACGATGTGGGAAGAGAAGTGAGTGAGTGAGTGAGTGAACCCTTAATTGGAGGGTAACACGACGCTGAGCGGGGGAACAGAGGAGCAGGGGAACAGGGGACGGGGGTGGTGAACTGCTCAGGGTACCTAGGAAGGGAATGCGGAATGTGTGCGCGCGCGCGCACGGCGTTCATCTTTTATGGAAAGATCAAAGAATAATCTGAAACGCAACTGATATCATCTGAGGTGGGTAGTGTTGTTTTGTGTGTGTGTGTGTGTGAACCGTTCGCTCTATTTTTGGCAATGTGGGAATTTAATCACCATTATCTCCGCTTTTTCCCACGTGCGCGTATTGCAGCTTGACATCACGGGTGTGGTGCATGATGTGCAAATTAGAGCTTGTGGTTGGAGCGAACAAAACAGCGTGGTATTATTATTTCTGGATTGGAGGTAAAGCTTCTTCGTATGTGAGTTATGTGTTGAAGACCACTTCATCCATATCATGGCGTTATAGACGGCGATACGACCTGTGCCGGAAATGATGTTGCTATTTTTGATAATCTTAGCCAGAGCACCGAGGAGGCTGGCGATGCCGTGATTGCTGTCCGGTATCGTTGTTGAAGTGATCATCAATCGATTGTCTTCACTCCCTTGGCCACAGCATTGCACAGCACAACCCTCACGCCCGCTGCCGAGAGGACATGGATCCATAGCCGTTGTGTGTCACTAAGCCGGTCATTGGCGCTTTTGACTTCCACAAACATAACCTCTCCCTTGTTATTCTCGGACTGCTCCTTTCGATCGCCGCTTGGCTCTTTTGCAGTGCGCCAGAGGATCAAGTCCGGCACACCACCCCCACGAGCTTTGTAATCCTGTGCAATAACCTTGCATATGGCGGCAAGAGCCTCGCCCTCGAAGCAGGAGACAAGCTCGAGAAGGTCCTCAACCTCATAATCCCAATTCAGCCCAACTATACAGGTACGACGCTCGCGATGCGGTTCATTGACCCGGCGAATAAGCTCTCCAGCTCCACCATTGGATATTTCCACCAGCCGGTGGTTAATCTCGCTCGCCCGGGCAGGGTAGAAGGCGTCCGTATGTAGGTCCAGAGGACATGTTTGGTAAGCGGTCTGAAAGACGTTCGGGACGAAGAGGAAGAGGATATCGCAGAAGAGATATGCGAAAAGCGTCCGTAGAATCCCACCCTCGCTGTGGTATCCTTTCCAACCTTGGGTGCGGTAGAATGATAGACACATCTCCTCAACACTGACGTGCATGGGATTGCCTTCCTCATCTGAGTCACCTAATTCGTCCAGCCAGATCGTCTTGGTACTTTTTATGTCACGACCTTTGTCTTCACGGACCAACTGAATGCCGTCCACGGTGTGCTCCTCCGGATCTCGCAGTCTCGCATGGTCAAAGTTGTGCTGCTGACGACGTGGGATATTGAGTTGCTTTTCAAGTCTGATAAGACGCTTTTGTAAATCGTAATGGTGGATCAGATGGCAATTGGGATCTTGCAGGGCCGTTTCGCATGTCGAAAGAGCAACTTGCCTCCAGCACTTCTTTCGAAGATTCTTTTGTGCTTCAGATAATGCTGTTGCGGGGGGTTGCTCCAGTTCCCACATGTACCGCTCTTCCACGAGGGCTTTTCGCTTATACCAAGCACCGCGTCGAGAAAAGTGAAACAGTTGCTGGCTCAGTAGCTCGTTGAGAAGATCATATTCGTCCTGATACCGATGAAGGCGGCCAAGAGCCTCGGCAGCTTTGTGCACAATCCTCGTATAAGCATGTCCTGCACTGAAACGGCGGAGGTACCCTCCTTCGCCGAACTCGTATTCCGTGTCTTCGCTTTTCTGTGCTCCAGTAAGCAGCTCTCTCCAACGAGGGGCTATACCCTCAAAGATTTCCACGACTTTGCGATTTCCCTCTGCCCCCGGCAGCCCGTTGAGCTCCAGTATTGTGTCTACTTCGAACTGAAGACGCATCGAACGCTCAAATTCAAGGAGATGCCTCCGTGCTGGAAATATGTTAGATGAGCGGCAGACGACATATTCAGGGAAGTTCCTCCTCGAGATTTTGGCTAAGATGATTGTTGTCAGTGACTTTTCTGTCCATTCGGTAGATCGATAGAAAACCAAGTGAACGCGTTCAAATAGCTTAAAGACAGGCTCCGAAAGTCTGACAAGCGGACCAGTAATGGCAAGAATCTTTTCCAGGAAATGCGCTTTTCGGTTGGAATCTTGTCTATCCGTGTTTGCTTCTTCCAATGCAGAGTCTACCGAGTTCATCGAGGCGTTGGTGCTGGACCGCCGTAATCCAACAGACATAAGGCTTGACTGCTGAGAACACATTCGGCAGAAAGCCTTGATGAGGTCCGGCTTGTTCTTGCCCTGAACTTTGGCATCCTTTGCGAGAGTTTTGAGCTCGTCAAGAGACAGTAGTTGTGCCGCTTGCTCAACCGTCTTGATGTGCGATGCCGAATCATCAGCGAACGCGAACGTGTCGGCGAAGACATGCTCCGGTTCTTCCACGGACTCTTCGTCTGACTTCTTCACAGACTCTCCCTTTGGCAACTCTTGAGACTCTAGTAGACTTTCAATAGCCTGCTCTATATCCGATATGTCGGGGTAGCGTTTCAGCCGTTCTAAACGATGCCATGAGGCAGTCTTGCGCAAAAACAGACGCACATACCTGAAGAGAGTCAGTCAAAGATGGTCACACCACGACAGGGCTCCATACAAGTACTGAGCTTCATAGCTCAACGCTCTCCAATTCTCAAATACACAATTTTCCTTCTCGTCGAAAAGATGCGCTTCGTCTTGCAGGACTGTGTCCAAGGCAAGGTTGAAGGCATCGACGTAAATTGAACTTTGCCCTCGGACCCATTTCCGTGTCTGTAGCCGTGTCTCCGCGCTGATTTTGCCATCGTCGACTTGAGAAGACTTCAGCTTTTCGTATTCTTCGAGTATATTGCCGTCAACCTTGACCTCGGGCAAACTATCCTCCAAGGCAGTATGATGGTGCGCAGCTGGAGCATTGTCCGTAGCATCGCCATCTTTCACATCTGCACTTCCAGTCTTTCCATCTCGAACAAGAGGCGAATCCCGGCTTGGTGCCGACAGAAATGAATCCTCGTCTTCGTCGTTGGTCAATGCTGTAGAAGAGCCATCGTCTTCGGTTACGTCGTTCTGTTTAACTTGTTCGATTCGACGCTTCTTTATTGGTGGTGTTTCAAGTCTCTTGTTGGTGTTGGTCCACCCAGCTGCCAAAGCCGGAGTAGTGTTGGCAGTCTCGCTCTGGGACGGTCTCGTCCTCTTCACAAAGCGGTCCATTCTTTGTCTGATGACTGAGGTATTGGAGGGTCGAATACCATGGTGTACGGCGCCTGAAATGATGAAGTATGCACGGTGGTCAGAGAAATGACACTACGGTACGCAAATTTCGTCCATAGCTTGATGGAATAGAGACGAGTGAGATGTACGAACAATGAATGAGTGACGGCCGTGGAAAGGTGGTTGAATGGGACCCGCGCTGAAGAGGAACTTTTAACGCGAAATCCCGTGACTGCGTGTACTATAGTGGGGCACGCAGTGGGAGTGACGCCCGCTGATCTCCACTGCAGACGCAATTGGAGCTCCAAGGGACCAGAGCTCCCTCGGACATCAACTTTTTGAAGAACAACATTGCATACATACCACCTGCACACCTCCAAAGGCACGACTTTTATCACGTGTACTGAGCCACGAATCTTTGTCTGTAGTCGGTCAACGTCCTGTTATCAAGACGAATATCCTTTATTATCAACTTCAGAGATGGCCGCCAACAACCCGCGCCCGGGACAAGCTCCAACAGACGATGTAAACATGACCGATGCTCAGTCCGATCAACCAACTGTATGTTCCATTCTTCTAGCATTTTCTCCAAGCATCCCCGGATTGAATCTGGATGGGATTAAATTATCCGTATCCTACCATTCACCTTCCCTTCCCTTCCCATACCCAGACCCAAGTCCTCCAAAGCCAACACTCCCTCCATTTCTCACCACCTCTCCCAAAGCCTACCTAAATAATTCACTAACCACCACCCCTCCCACAAACAGCAACAAAACCAACAACATCTAACAGCTCACCACCACATTCCCGACCGGCCGCCTCACCCCGTCTCCCCCGTCCCAATTCCCCAGATCCCCGGCCGTCCAAGTCCCACAGGCGCAGCCCACCCGACCGCAAACCAAGGACCCAGCGCGATCCGCAGCATCGCTGCCCCTACCAAGAACTGCTCAGCGACAATCGAAGACCAACAGTCACAAGCACAACCACTACCACCGTATCATCAACAGCGGGCCGGTTCATCACGAGCTGCCTCTGCGCACCCCCAGGATTCTGGTCAGGGTCAGGGTCAGCCGCAACAGGGATTAGGCTCAGCAGGCATGAGCATGGCAGGCATGCCCACGGAACCGACGCTTCACGGGGCGCCGGTGAGGCAGTACTTGAATACGAAGGTGACGGGACATTTGTTGGAGGGGATGAAGATGTTGGCCAAGGAGCAGTATGTTTGCACCCTCTTCCGTTGCACACGGTCTACTATCAAAGTTGGCCGGTGGCTTGTGGTGATGAAGGTGATTGCTAACTAAACTTGAAACAAAACCAGACCAAAAGATCCCCTCCGAGCTCTAGGCGAATTCCTCCTGCAGCGATCGAAACAGTACGAAGGAAGTGGTGGCGGCGGTGGTGGTGCGAATGGAAGTTCGACTACAAGCGCATAGAAGGCGGAGGCTAGAGCTTCGAGAACCAGGGCACACAATACCAACGTCAAATTTCTCTACCTGACGAGGTCTATACTTTTACGTCTGTTGATTCTGAGGGTGACGTGACAATGGATCGAGAGGGAGAAGGAAGCTTGGACCTCTTCAGGAAAACGGTGAACAAAAGAGGGTACCTCATGGTCTACGTGACAGAACCAAAGGGGTGACAGATCATGAGGGACGAGACAACGGAAGAAGAGAGCTGAGAGTGATACTACAATGAGGGCCCTGGATGAGGCATTGTGAAACTCTTTTATGACCTGACGACAACTATTCCCCGCTGAACAAGATGTTTTGAGCAGACCAGAAAATTGATGAACACGATGAACACCGCTCAAAACCAAGGGCACAATGTACAGCCGAAGCACGAACTAAAAAGACAGAAACACAAAAAGCAAAAGACTTAGCAACCCAAGCCTGGAGTTCAACCTGAACTCGAGACCGCTGAAGCTGCCGCCCTACAAAAATACCACACATTTTCTGACTTCCCGCACACCGACCACGTTGGCTACTGGGAGAGAGTGTTAGATGGAGCTAAACTACGCGGGTTATATGGTCCCAAGGAAGGTGCTACCGTTGGAGAAGTCGAGACGGAAGGAGAAGCCCGGAGTTAGGGGGGAAAGAGAAATCCAGTGCTCGTTCCAACTCTGCGGGTCCTCGCAATCCTGTCTCGGCTGTGCTGTTCGCATAACCCGCAAAAAAAATTGCCAACTCATCAATAGGGGTTGATGATCATTACCATAGTGTACACATACCGTATTTAACCCACAAACAGGGATGAGCATTGGCCTGAGTGGTGAGGCGGTTGGCACTCAACATCTTCTTCCGTCTCCTGCCCTGCTCTGCTTGGTTCATGTCATTCTCCATTCCTGCCTCTGGCCTCTTGCCTGCTTCCCTCCTTCCCCCCTTCCCCCCTTCCCCCCTTCCCTCATGCCATCCCGCCACCAGCGCTTACCATGAATGAGTACACGCCTCCGTTGAACTTTACCCCAGCTACGCTACCTCTTCAGTCCCCTCGCCGTTGTCCACTCCTGTCCTGCCCTGTCCTGGCCAACACTCCCCTACCCTACCCTATTCTGCACCTTCCGTCCCCTGAAAGACAGAAGACACGGTCCCCTATCGAGAAATGTACGATACCCCATGTATGGCTTCGGATCTTACCAGTGGCAGTGGGAGTGGCCACTAGTGGCACAGCTCCCTTAATTTACCTCTGCTGCTTGCTTGAGAAAAGGCGGAAAGAAGGGCGCAGGAGCTGGCACAGTTTGCTTGGTTGCTTGGTTGCTTGGTTGCTTGGTTGCTTGGTTTCACCTTTTCAGGTTTGGCTGGAAACACGACACAACGACACGAGAACCCATCAGGGCGTCCATGTTGTCCAGCCCCTATTCCATATTCCCTCTTCCCTTATTTCGCGGAATGGGAGGACCGGAGAAGGAGGAGGGAGTCCAGTCCAGACTCCAGTCACTGCTTGGCTTCAGAGAAGTGGAAGTCCAGCCGCATACCACAGTTCAAGTAAGGCAAAGATGGGTGGGTTCTGATGAGGCTTCGGACTAGGTTTGACCTTGATAAAGCTGTGAACTTATTTGTTGTTTTTGCAGCAGGGTAAGGTTCCTGTACATAGGTACTCAGTGAGCCAAAGTCTTGTACCATAAGGTAGTTTGTGTGGGAATTTGAACTCGAGGTATTTGGGTAGGTAGGTAGGTAGGTAGGTAGTCGACGTTCAGAAAATTTTCCAAGTTGGACAAAATCAAATTGTGAGAGCCTGGCATCGCAACTCTGAAATTGAACAAGCAAAAAATATCACTTCAAGGTTAACTTCCTTTCCTTGGCTAGTGTACAGTCTGGTTACCTACCGCTCAGTTAGTCACTGTTACTGTTACTGTTACTGTCACTGTCACTCTTGCCTGCACTTACATGTACCGTGCCATGATTAGCCCGCCTCCTTCCCTCCCAGAGGTAGATGAGAAAAGAAAGACTTGATTTGGGCCTTGACGTAGCCGGTACTGTAGACACGAGTAAAGGCACCTACCTAGATGTATGTATGGCTTCGAAATTTACCAGCGCCAGTGCCAACGTTAGTGCCACAGCCAGGCTTAGAATGTACCTACTTAAGACTGAGGGCACAGTGGCAGGGCCGATACTTCATTGGCATGGTTATTTGGTTTTCTACGTGATTGAAAACATGACACTACACGACACGACATGAGATGGCAGGATATGACATGGCATGGCATGGCAGTTAGAAATACTGAGCTAGGCTGGACTGAATTGGGCTAAATGAGCTATCTTTTTCTTTTTCTTCTTCTTCCCAAAGGACAGAATTTCGGGGTGCGGACCATCTTTTCGGTAACCTCCCGTCGGCCGTCGGCACGTCTTGTTGTTGTCGTTGGCCCGTCGGCCTTACCAATTCCGCCATTTATGCTCCTTGGACACACGCAGCAAGATGCAAGACGCAAGACGCAGGAAGCAAGCCACCACGATGCAGGGCCACGTACACGTAGGGCTGTAGGGCTACGCCTATCCAAATTTCCCTCACTCTACCTACCTATCCCAATGAGTGCAGTGTATATATGTAGGTAGGGGGCGTTGTGTACGGTAGAGGCGGGGAGGGGGCCAAAAAAAAGGGGGAGCAAGGGCCAAAGAAGGTGATTGGATGGGGAAGGAAGGCATACAGTAGGTAGGGATGACATGAAATGAAATGATTCAGAATGGTTCAGAATGGCTCAGATTGAGTGGTGTGTGCTAGGCGCGTACGTAGCTCGTAGGTACCTATATAGGTAGAGATAGCATTTCATTCCGTTTTACGGAAATGTGCTACATGCCTTACCTTACTTGACTTTACTCCGGAGCGGATGTGAGCGGGTGGCGCAGTCGTAGACGACATGACTCCCGTCTTTTTAAAATTCTGAGAGACCCTCAAACGGTTTGGGGGGACTTGCCTCACCCATAACACGATAGAGGAGAGGAGGAGATCAACATCTTGGCTACCGAGGTCGACACCTACCAGCAGAGGACGTCAATTCCAAATACTTCAGTGACTCTTCATCATTTGTCCGTCGTCAGGATCTCTCTTGAGGATTATGAGCTGTCAAGCGTCCTGTTGACTCTCCTGCTTCTGTTACACTCCTAACTGTTAAAGCCTTTGAAGAGGAGAGGAGTGAGGGTGTGGCTTCGCGACTCTGGATATCTCTTGAATATTATGAGCTATCAAGTATCCCTTAATCGCATAATTATTTCTATTGGTATTATTACATGACCAACAGTTGAGGGTTAAATTCGGTAATGAAGGGATGTGAGTAAACTAGAGGCCTAGACTCTATAGCTAAAGGTTGTGAGATAGATGTGAAGTGTCTTTGAGAGGTTGGGAGGCAGCACTCTGGGCTTAGAGTGTGTGAGGAATATCCCATATCTTTTTGTCCTGAAACATATGCCTAATTGGCGACTGACCTATCATATAAGTCGGGCAAAACTCCATGATGGCCATATCATCGGTATATCACCAATGTTTACTTACGCTAACTATTCTCAACCCACATCTGGGAGGTTACCATCCAAACTGCGGAGGTGAGAAATCAGACATCTAGTGTAATTAGGCAGTAGAATTTCTTAAAAACATATTGAGAAGCGGAGAAATATGGAAATGACGGTGAGGATGAAGAGGCCTCCTGCGGCGTGAGCGTAGTGTTCTTTGTGACTCCCGCCAATCACTCGGATATTGCTAGGAAAAGAAGACGACACTGGCCGGTGCCGAAAGATAGAGGAGACAACAGAAATTCACCTCGAACTCGTCGAACTCGTAGTGAGGAGGAAGGAAGCCCTCCTGGAACCTGCCAGGACGAAATCCCCTAGTTCAACACCGCTGACATATCTAAACTTCCGACAATGACGAGAATATGGCAGCTTGCACGCCGTCTTTAGCCCGCACGGTTACCCACAGTCCTCGGGCCTTAGCCCTCTGCGTCCTGTGCGGTCCTTGACTCCTGTAAGCAGCCACTTTTCCCATCATCTCATCGTCCCAGACCCGCTGAGTAAATAAGACACCTTCCCAGATTTTCAAATATCATTCTCGTCGCTTATCGCAACTTTGAATCCCGGCTTTCTCGGAATTAGCAGTCTTTATTTCCTTAAGGTGCTGACCTGCAGTAGTGTTTTAAAATCTGACCTCCATGGTTATTCTGATGAGCGGTCCTCAGTCCCGTTCCGTGTGGAGGGAGGCCACGGAGGAGGTTGGGAGGGAGGGAGGGTTTGGTCTCAAGCAGAGGAAACCCACTAGGATCTGCTTGGCTGATGATGGCAGGAAGTGAATGCAGCAGAAACACTCTCGGGAGCATTAATGGATGGTTAAGAAATGTGCTACTATTCCCGGGCCTCCGGAGTCCTCCAAGCCAATTTTATTCGGGGTCTATAGTAAATGGTCAGGGTACGAAGTCACTCCAAAACGGTCCACAGATGCCCTCCGAGTGAGATGCATGCGTCCGTATGTGCGGTTCGCCGTGACTTCCAGGAAAGGACTTCCGATCTTTGACGACAAAAGAGAATCGAGGTGCAGATGTGCTCCGTTTCGAACGTTATCGAGGGCTGTCATCATCTGCACACCACGGCGCTTAACCATGGTGGTTGAAGACAGACACTTGTTGTTGGCTCTCAAACACCCACCAGCTCTTGATTCGGCGCGCGGCCGCGGAGCACCGGAAAGTTCCATTCACCCCATATCCCGGCCTGATCATGACCACAACAACTGTGTGATCGGTGGATTGGTGTGCACCAAAATGACCAGATACTGTGCCGAGGTGAGTGTGGATTGTTAACGGTTGGCCAATCCGATGGTAGATTTAAAATGATGCTTAACTCAAGACATGCCGTGCCTCAATTATCTTGCTCTCAACCGGAGTATTGTCTGATGGTATCCCGCACACCAACGGTTCGTTCCTGCAGTCTTAACGTCTCAAGTCGCCAAGCCATGAGACATAATGGCGGGACCTGACATTCATGATATGTAACCTCCGAAGGTTTCGGGATGGGCAGCAATAGGCGAGAACAGCGAGTGACAGTCCCATACCAGGTGCCATGACATGAATATTGCATCCAGGCAGCTGAATAACATCAAGTGAGGTGGTGATGAGCAATGAAGTCGCAGATGGCTTGCATGGGATTCATGTATGACCCTTGCATAAGCCTTGGCGATGTAACGCTGTTAACTGGCAGTAAACGATAACAGCAACGACGATTCGCCGTCGTCCACTTCGGTAGGTACTTTGCGCCAGCTCGAGATCGAAAGGATGTCCAATAGGGTTGTAAAGCCGGTGATACCTCCCGGGACCATAAGACCGAAGGTTTTCGCATGGGACAATGGTGCATAAAGTGCTCAAGCCAAGCTCTTGCTGACGACATATGCAGTTTTCTTCGACACTTCCAACGACTTGGCGATGCCTGTCTAGACTCCAGCTTCGCTTAGCTGACTGAGGAGGTCGCGACATCTTTGATGTGGGGGATTCAAGCTTGTGGATATCGAATGAGGTGAGCACCGATTTCAAAGCAGACCCAGCCAAGACTTCTGGGGGCCAAACAAGGGTACAACGACGACTTAGAAGGTTATATGGTCGCAAGAAGAAGATGAGCCTCAATATGAGGAACTAATGAAGCGAAGCTGAGGTCCAAACGATGGGAGGAAAACTTGCCAATGCACACCTGTGGACTTGTTTCTGAAACGCTGGTCGTACCCACTGGATTGGGAGATGTTCAGAGACCTCAGCACCAACAACTATGTTGGGTGAGTGGCTTGGTAGCGACCAGAGATTTGAGTGGGGTCTTCCAAACATCGGCAGCATATAGCAAAAAAACGCTCCTGTCTAGGAGGCTTGCTCGGCTGCTCCCGCATCCCGGTAGCTGTGTTCCCCAGAGACTGGCTGCCACGGCATGTGTGGACATGAAGTTCTGCCACAAGTAACGCCTCATCCTTCGAGCAATCTTACTCCAGAGAGGCCCGATCGCAGCTCGTACCCAACCGGGTGGTTCAGAAAGCTTGGTGTCCCAACGGGACCCGTAGGGCTGAGGGGAAAGCGTCTGGAGTGTCTGTCCTCTTCACCAATGATGCTCCTTACATGCATCCCAAGCCATGAGTATCCCATATCATGCTTTGATGCAGTGTTGAGCTACGAGCTTTTAGCTTCGGTGATTTGAACGGTGTTGCCGGACACACATCCAGGTCGCACGAAAGTCAACTTGATGTCTGGCGGCGAAGATCAACGCTACGGAGGGCAATGACAGATCGCCCGCGTAAACGGAGAATGGTCAGATGCATACTCAGAAACATTTGTGCAGAATCTTGATTCACCAGCCTCCGGAAATGCTACCCACTGACCCGTTTCACGTACCTATGAGTGAACTAGTGATGACCAACGTTGCGAGGCCCTCACTAGACGTTTTCACACATTAAAAAGGAACCCTTGTTGCTGAGAAAAACGGTGGCCCCGAAATTCGGCCCCCAATGGTTGCGATAACTGATCCCACCCAGACGCGAGTGAGTGGCTTGGGGGAGTTGTACTTGTCCAGCGAAGAACGTCTGCCCAATGTAATGTCAGCATTGTAATCACTTGGGTGCGGACCACTTCATATCAGGGCTTGGCCGGAAAAGAAGCTGCTGCACGAAAGACAGGATTCTGGAATAAGACACCCGGGAGCCTCAGCCCTAAGATAATCACCAATCAGTTAGCACAGTTTAGCCGCTTCCTGTAGCATCCGCCAAACTGACAGCCAACAAAACTTACCATAGGAGCGGTAATTTTATAACGATATCCTTGGTTTTAGCCGTGGCCAAATCCGGTGCTGATCTGGCGACTGAGGACCCAAAGAGGGCGTACCAAGCCAGCTCAAGTAACTCCTAACGCCGACCGACCAACTAGCCCACAGATATGTGCCCTCAAACAAGGGGCTCCTCCGCATTCGAACTGGTCATTTATGCCTCGTTGAGTGCCCCTTCCACAGCCCACGGGCTGAGGGTGCACCGAGATAACCCTTCCCTTTGGTGACCCATGTAGGTTGCAGGGTTTAGGGAAACACCTTTGCCAATGCTGACATGCAATTCGCCCCTACTCCTCGCTGAATGCCTCACATGCATCGATAGTCGAGAAGTAACCTCTTGATGGAACGTGGTATAGTATAACAGCTTTCCCAACTCATCGCAAGTTCAGGTGCCCGACATTGATGCTGCTCTCAACCAACAACTTTGTCGTCTGCAAATACAGTTGTGCATGACTGTCCTCTTGAAAGCCTCAAATCTTCACTCCTTCGTGATAGGGTTCAACACAAAGATGTCGGTCGCTTCAACATCTCCGGCATCTTCGCCACCACAGGAAACCGCCAAGAACCCTCGAGTGTGTTTGAACTGCCGACGGAAGAAAAAGCGATGCGACAAAGCTCTGCCCTCGTGCAGTCGATGTGTTGAGTTAGTGCCCCCTTGATTGATGTGGTGACGCCTCTGTTTCTGACAGATTCCTGTTGGTAGTTCTCTCCAGGTTTGTCAATATGACGAAGAAGGCGGACTTCCAGGAGGGCTTTGCTCTCCAGGGCCCTCGTTTCATCTTCCGCAATCCATGATCATCTCCGAGCAGCGCTGGGGGACCGTATCACCTGGACTGTTCATGGCCTTGGACACTGTCGAAGATATACATTCGTTCACGTCTCGCTGTTTGTCCGAGGTTCTTGGGAGTCGAGACAACATCGAGCATGTCGTCGCCCGCTATTTCGCCACCACCAACACATGGTTCACAATTGTCGATAGAGTCGAGTTCGAGGCCTTGTTAAAAAACATCTGGATCGCTCCCTCGGCAGAGACGAGCGTCCTGCTCCTCGGTATGAGTCTTATCATCAGACTCCCACACAACAACAATCTGAACGGAATGGCGGACAGCGTATATCTTTCTGTGAAAACAATGCTTAGTGTCGTTAAGACAAAAGTCTGCCTGTCGATACCGTTGATGCAAACGGAGCTGTTGATTGCGATGTATGAGACATCGCATGGGATGCACCAACAAGCGTACATGTCGGTCGGAAGCTGCTGCCAGATGAGTAGGGCACTTGGCTGGTGGGATAAGAATTTCTGGAGGGGGCAGCGAAGAGCCGGGATACCAATAAATCTTCCACTTTGTTCAGCTCTGTGGTGGGCAACCGTTTATGTCGACTGGTGAGTGTATACCACGCTTGACGGTTGTAGTTTCGAGTTCACTGACGGCCGATCAGTCTGTTCCAAGCAGGATATCAAGACCACGCATATCCTTTGTACACCTCTGCGGTACCCCAAGATCTCACAGTACCCTTCCCTGAATCCTTTAGACACGCTGGCTCCAATGAGGCTCTCGGGTCCTGGGATGTGACGATGAGAGATGTTAGCGGTGCGATATGGCCCGAAACCCATTCGGCCTACTACCTCAGCAGTGTCTTGCAGCGATTGACCGACCCTGCTTCTCTTTCGAACGCCGACCGCGACAATTTGTCACACTTGATCATGAACCACACGATCAGTATGCTAGGTAGCGATCGTGCCGCAGTGGTGGGGACCAATTTCATGTATCTTTCTCCACCTCACCGGCTCCCGACAAAGCTAACTCTCTGTTGACAGTGCTTTGATGCAATTGAGCCAACGTGGCGTCCTCCTGAACACGGGCTTGGTCGATACCCGATCTGTTGAAACTATCCGATCGGTGATTGAGTCGATATACACCTCGGCCCTGAACATGGAGCAATGCGGGCCGAATTATTGCGCAAGTCATGTAGCACCGTGCGCACCCGTTGCAGCATACTATGCTGCCAATGTGTTGGTGTCTCACGGCGAGAATTGGCTGCAAGACAAAGATTGGTTGCCCAAGGTCGAGTGCCTAAAGAGATATATGATGTTTCTCGGTCAACGGTGGAAGATTGCCGGTAAGTGATTCCGGCATGCCCGCCGATAAATGATGCTGACGGTTATCATAGAGCTTCATGCCAGCTTGATCGACATCGCCCTCCGTAGTCGGTTGAGCGGGTACACCGGCTGAGGAGAACGTTTGGCTTTGTCCCGTTCCGCTGAGCAACTGTCCTGATGATGTATCTAGGCTGGCCGACGGAGAGCCATTGCTAGTCCAAGGGGAATGTGACCGAAAGCTGGTACCGTATAGAGCAGGTCGTCGCAGCAGTCTCGATCGCACACTCGGTAGGCGTCAAGCGAGGAGTCGGGCAAATGACATGTCTGTGTTTCTGCATCTTATCGCGCGCCATAGTGTCTGTTGATTTCGAAAACTCGGGTGGTTTAATTTCGGGTGGTTCTGCCCATAAAGGTGATTGTATTGAACGGTTCGATAAGGATTTGCAAAGAATTGCACAATCCGTTCAATACCTGGTTGAAGTGGTCGAAAGGAGCCGCTTTGATCACTAAGACGGAAGACGTCAGAACCCGCAGCAAAGCAACATCTGGAAAAGTGAGGATGAGGGAAGGCGGAACAGGACAAGTTCATGTTCATAGACATAGAGAATGGGAAAGCAGAATGCACATACCTGGCCGTTGGAAGTGAAAATAGGAGAAAACCAGGTATATAGCTCTCATTGAACGAAAAAGCTGTCTTGCACTCATAAAGGACGAGACTGTGATCCATTGGCCAGCACCGGCATGTGCTACGCAAGTCCGAGCAGCAGTTGTCGGACTCTTTCGTTTGGGACAAGGCCGTGTGAGGTAGGAGTGGTTAGGGAGAATGTCAACGCTTATGTGAGCTCAGTAATCAGTATTGATGAGGCAGGCGGCCAATCAACATGCTCCAAGGGACCGGATCCGTCGCCGTCAAGTGAGGCCGACCTGGGATTGGCGGGTTGGATGTTCGAAGAAAGATGCTTTTGCAGTCAAGCATAGTTGTGAGAAGGCGATATTGTACGGTGGGGGCCGAATTGTTCGAGGTTCGTCCCGTGTTGTGTGCCCGTTTGGGTGAAGCTGAAGTGGAAGTGGAAGTGAAGAGATGAGGACGAATGGGAAACTCGGGCAGCTGGATAACTACGAGAACATGTCTCCACAGTGCCCGGCAGGCAAATACCATGACGCATGTGCAAAGCCGCAGGTAGTCCATTCGCTCCTTCCTTCTATCAGTCAAACATTCTCACCATCATCGTTAACTGAGAAGGAACAAAAGAGATCGGTAATGTACCTTACTCGGCAGGCGTCACCCTGTGCCGGCTTTGGTTCCACATTAAGGAGGAGCGAACGATGTACTAGTAACTTGGTCAACCGTATGTCTCTTGACTCCTTTCGATTCGTTGTATGGCAACTACAACGGCCGTCCCTGAAACCAACTTGTCAGTGTTGGCTTCCTGCCAGCCCCCAAACCAATATCCAACTGATATGCACATTCGTCCAATCCACAGACTTCTCAAGGCTGAAACAAAGGGGAACCGCACTTGCGCATTCGAATTGCTGCCGTACTAGCAGTCCCCATTTCTGCTCCCTCATACCACTTTTCGGTGTCACATCCCCCGAGCGATCCGAATCCGCGAACTGAATCCAATCTAGACCATCTGCGCACCATGACCCCCCCAAACAGCGCGATAAAAGGATGCCGCATGGAGACAAAAGAGAAAGGTATATTCTTTTTACGCCGTCTGGTATGACAAAACAGAACATCTTCCGCTCCTTTCTGTTCCTTGTGAAAGGTGCCCTCCCTCACGTATTCCCGTCATTCCGGCCTTTGCTCCATCCAAAAAAAAGTAGGTGGCCTCAGGAGTTTCGGTAGTTCCCAATGCATATCAAACAACAACACTCATCTTTCCAACCGGTCCTCGCAGCGAAGTTGTCGCAAAGCCGCTTAAGCCTTCCAGACGCGCTTGATAGTCTCGGTAAGACCGACATCGGTGGTCTCGAACTCGTAAAGGGCAAGGCCAACGAGGACGGTAGCGGCGTTGAGACCCCAGGTGAAGAGCTTGCGGGCGGTGGGAACGCGCTTCTGGGGGACGTAGTCGACAATAATGTTGCCGAAGCCGGTGTGGGAGTGGATGAGGATGGTGGCGGCGAGGATGGCGTCCATGGTAGGGTTGAGAGAGCCGGCGGCAAAAGGAGCGACGGTCAGGGGAATAAGACCGGCGGCGACGACACGGTCGAAGGTCCAGTGGTAGGAGCCATGGGAAGGAGAGGTGGGGGGAACGTGGACGGGGTCGTTCACTAGATGTAATGTTAGGTTAGGCTACTGTAGGCATGTATGTCATATCGAGATGTTGTAGATGCGCTTCTCGCAAGCGGGCATGTAGTAGATTTGTTGGGTTCATGACAGGCAAGGAACAAGCGTGGCTGTTGGGTTGTTGTTCGTACCTGTACCCTCAATGCGCTCTATCCCCCATATACTGTTAGCATATATACTGATTCCAGCGGCAGGACATAAACCTGTATCTAGGACCAAATAGAAAGGGAGTGTATGCGATTACGTACGAGGAGGAGGGGGGAGCAAGCTCTTGCGGGAGGTGGTGTGGAAAGCGGCGACACGAAGGCCGGTGGCAGCAACGGACTGCTTGGCCGCAACCTGCTTGAGGAGGGCGGAGGAACGGGCGATGGAAGCCATTGTTTCTGGTGGTTGTGGTTGTGGTGGTGATGATAGGTGATGGGTGGTGATGTGGTGGTGATGGCGGACAACCAATTGGGCTTTCGAAGGACGGGAGGGCGGTCTTCGTAGGAGATATCGTCGCACGGGTCTCTCGGTTCAGGACAGGATCGTGGCCGTGGATCGCTAGAGGAGCCTCTGGGAGTGACGGGACGGACGGACTCCGGAGTGGAACGGACTGGTGCCGAACTGCGATTCCTGATGTAGCTTATCCCTCGGCAATACTTGACCAATCGCAGAGCACAAGATGTCAGCGGCAGCGTGTGCCGGCCATCGCTCGGCGTGGAAAATCCCATTGTTCCCGGCTTGGCTCTTGCTTGGAGGTCGGTACGTACCTTGAATCTCGCGGGATTCAGTGGATGCACATGCAATCCAAGGCCCTGTTCCCCGCCAAACCCGACGTGCGACGAACACTGACCTCACGACCGGCAGGAACAGGGGTGGCCCAAGCTCCCCTTCGTCTTTCCAGAAATTATTTCGCAGTTGGAGATGCTAGCGCGTAACGATACAGCAGCGCGTTACCCGACCTTACGCTCGGGCGATAAGATAGCGAGACTTTACTGCGTCCGGGTTGGAGGAGGGACCCATTATTTTTTTGATGGGCGCCGTAGTTCGCCGGTACCTCAATGACTGGCTGAAGCTATCATCACCACCTACCTATTTGTACCTCTCAACACCGGCCGTCTAACCCCCTCAAACACCACGACCCCGGATCTCCAGCCGGACAATCCTATCGCCTGGGCAACCTGATCAACCTATTATAATACCACGCCTTTTGGAATCATATCCAAAAACTCCGCCCTGCAATTGCCCAGCAAGGGACTCAATCCGGTCGATCGGGTCGTCAAGAGGAGGGCCGGAATCGGTGCTTCCGGTTGCGCTACGAATTGCGCCAAGTTCTCTCCGATACTTTACGCCAATTTCTTCTCCTTTCGAATATTACACAGAATGCTGCTCCAAGCAAAGGCCCTAATACGCTCCGGCGGGAGCGTCGCCAAGTATGCTGCTGCTAACCCGTCATGCTTCATTGTCCAACGAAGAGGACTTAGGCGCTCCTTTGGACCAAAGTACACGGCCAAGATCAATGAGGCCGATGAAAAGTGGCAAGCGAGGGCTGATGCGATCAAGAAGGGCGGGAAGCAAGGTACTTGGGATCTGTTTAAGGAGAGAGGTTATGTTAAGGATACGGCTGGGTAAGCTTTGACACTGTCCTTTCGATGCGCCCATGAACGGGACTAACACGATCCTCTTACCAGCAAAGATGAGCAAATCGCCGAACTTATGAGGACAAGACGGATCGGCGCATATGTCGGCATCGATCCCACCGCACCATCACTACACGTCGGCCATCTACTCCCCCTGATGCCGCTCTTCTGGATGTACCTGGAAGGATACAAGGCCTTTACCCTCATTGGTGGCTCGACGGCAAAGATTGGAGACCCGACAGGTAGGCTGACGAGCAGAGACAAGTTGAGCAGCAGTGATGCGACAATGAACATGACCAAGATTCACTATCAACTAAAGAAGCTGTGGGAGAACGTGGACATTCAGATGCGAGCGCGTGGCTATGAGGCCGATTGGGCGCGGATGCGAGGTATCGTCAACAACAACCACTGGTGGAACAAGCAGCCCATGCTCGAGGTTCTGAGGAGGGTAGGTCAGGCCTTGCGCGTCGGTCCCATGCTGTCGCGCGATACCGTCAAGAACAAGATGACCAAGGGAGATGGTGTGTCTTTTGCCGAGTTCAGCTACCCCATCATGCAGGGCTGGGATTGGTTCGAGTTGTTCTACCAACGGGGAGTTCAGATGCAGATTGGAGGCTCTGACCAGTACGGCAACATCATTTCTGGTCTCGAAGTCGTCAAGGCCGCCCGCGACTCCGAGCCCGACCCGCAGGAGCGCCAACATATCGTGCCCAAGACTGTCATGGACGAATGCGTCGGCTTCACCGTTCCTCTCTTGACAGACTCGTCCGGTGCCAAGTTCGGCAAGAGCGCCGGTAACGCCATTTGGCTTGACCCTTATCAGACCTCCGTCTTCGACTTTTACGGTTACTTTGTCCGCCGGACTGACGAAGAGGTTGAGAAGCTCCTTAAGCTCTTTACCTTTATGCCCACCAGCGAGATCACCAAGGTTATGGAGGAGCACGTCAAGGACCCTAGCAAGCGCGTTGCGCAACATGCGCTTGCCCGCGAGGTCGCGACGCTTGTGCACGGTCAACAGGAGGCCACTGCCGCCGAGAAGCAGCATCGTCTCATGTACAGCGGCCAAATGGCGAATCCCCAAGTTCCTCGCCTCAAGGACGCCATCACCGGTGGCGATCCATACAAGGTCATCCCAGGCCAGCAAGTTACTTGGAACAACGCGCCCCGTATCGACATGATCCTCCCCGAGTCGCTCATCATGGGCAAGTCCATCGGCCGCATTCTCTACGCCGCCGGTCTCGCCAGCAGTACCACCGAAGGCCACAAGCTCGCGGCTGCCCAGGGCTGCTACGTCGGTGGAGCATACACCGCCGGCAAAGACAATGTCACCATGAGCCCGGACCTCGTCTCCTTCATGCCAGTCAAGCTGTGGTTCCCTGGCGAGACCCAGCGCTACCTGATTGACGGCAACCTGCTGATTCTCCGCAAGGGCAAGCACAACGTGCGCGTGATCAAGATGGTTAGCGACGCCGAGTATGCTGCTTCGGGCCAGACGTACCCCGGTCAGAGCTTCACCGGCGCGGTCAGGAAGCTGAACGAGATCATGAAGAACCTCAAGGACAAAAAGTTGACCCCTGAAGAGGCTAAGAAGCAAGTGGCCAGGTTGCAGAGGAGCGAGAAGGAGAAGAAGGAGCACGCCCGGCAGATCGTCTTCCCCGAAGAGAAGAGCAGGCAGAAGAAGGACATGGAGATCAAGCTCAAGCAGGAGATGGACACGACAATGAAGACCATTGAAAAGATGACGGGCCAGTCTACGCGGAAAGAACCCTCCATGCAAAGAGACCCCTTTGCACGGACACAAGAACCCTTTGCGCGGAGAGAACCCTCTGGGCGGGGAGCTGCGGTGAAGGAGACCCAGAACAGCAGGGATCCATTCAAGTGGTAGATAGTGTATAAGAATTCAGTCGCGTAGTCGGGCGGAATAGAGAAAAAGGAGTCAAAGGTTGGATTGGCTTGTTGGGCAAAAGCGTTCTACTCCCTGTACATATCTTGTAAGATAAAAGCATGAGAATACCCCGTTTTGGACATTATATAAGACCATAGAGCTTCTCGCATCGACACTTCTTAAAGGAAAGTAAATATCATCAGGTTCAGCAACATTCGGGTGGGAAAAGTAACAAAAAGTACCGGTTTCATGTTGGGCCATCCAATGCTGTTGTCCAGTGGAAAAGGGGTCACATATGGTGTTCAGCGTCTACTGGTAGGGTTAGGGTTAAAGGCGGGTATGCACTAGCAGTCATTGAACCTCTCAAGCACCAAGGCGCCTTTCCTAAAAACAATCACCAAACCAAGGTGACAACTTCACTCAAAACAACCACTGCGTCGATTACTGTGTTCCACTTCTCACTGCATTTAGAGGGGGTTTTTAACCTTCAATCACCAATGACTGTTTGATTTATTCTGGATTCGAGTGAGGTTCGTGTGCGATCTTGCAGAACCAATCCGATAGAAATGCGCGACGGCAACAGATGAGACACCTTCATCGTCGTCTCAGCGTCAAGTCCAAAACCGCTTCTCACTACACTAAGAAAACACAGGGTTTCGACAACATATCTTTACATGATGATTCAAGCAATCTTCTATGCTCGGTTCTTTCCAAAAGAAGGTTTGCATAACCTGCCTTTGCTACCACTTATCAACATCATCTGATCATTTGCTTGTTCATCAAGTCTGGCCATAACGGCCCGAAACGAAGTGTAGTGAATATCAAACTAACCATTATATCAGGAACCAAAATCGTCGCGCAAAGTCCGCCAGGCTCAATCGTGCCAGTTCCTCTTCCGGAAGGCACCAATGGTCCCCTCAACAGGAAGCCATGTCTTTTCGACTTCAGCGTGCTCCAGGAGTACATCATCCCGCGCAAGGCCTTCTGCAACCGCTTCATCACCGTCAACGACCCCGACGGCAAATACGTCATCCTGGGGTACCCCGTCTCCATTCCGGACCCGCGCTATGACCGGAACGAATTTATCTTCAACTTTGGGCTTGTCATCAGCTGCGACGTAGTGGACCAGATCCCCTATGAACGCGTCGTGAGGAGGCTGGCGGCCACCTTTGCCGAGATGGAGAAGCAGGACGGCTACCTGAGCCAGGACGCAGCTACAAGGGGTGGAGCTGTTGCGGTCCATGGGTATGGCAACGGTGGCGGCCGCTGGGTTGACGGGGACGGGAATGAGATGGTGAGCATGCGGAGGCCGATAGAATCGCTGCTGGAGATTGTGAAGGAGGATCTGAATAACTATGGAGAGTGCATGATTCCCATTGGTATGTTTCCCTCAACTCTCCCTTTTTCTATCGATGCTGACTATTTCAAACAGATGACGCCAACACGATCAACATGAAACTCTTCCCTCACCACGTCAACCCCCCGGAAGTCAAAGGCTGGCATGTCCCCGTTGCCAAGATGAAGTTCGCCGACGTCGTCGATCCAACCTGGGACCTAACCCTGCAGCGCGTCGTCGCCCACATCGACGGCGTATCCGACGTGCGCCGCATCGCCCTCGCCTCCGGCGTCTCTTTGGAGCTAACCCAACTTGCCCTCCGCCACCTACTCTACTACGACACCATCCTGCTCCTGGACATGTTCTTCTTCGGAGCATGCTACGCTCCTCGCCCTGGCATCCATGATTTTATCGCCAACGTAGGTGGCATGGTCGACGAGTGTGCCAACTACGTCTGCGTCGGACCTATCGATCCGTCTCCCGGCAACAACAACAGCAACGGCAGCGGAACTGGCACCGGAACCGGACCTGGTTCTTCCGCCGATAACCACCACCACCACCGCCTCCGTTCCGTATCAGGGAGCACCACCTTCCACAACCACAACCCCTCCAATCTCTCCACCTCAGCAGCCAGCACCCGCCACAGCCACACCCACCACCTCTCCCCCCTCCGGCCTCGGTCCCAACTCCGACCGTGATTGTGATCGTGATCGCGATCCAAGCCCTTACGCCCAACACCACCACCACCTCTCCCCCGTTCACGAACGAAAACCTTCCACCTCCCCCAACAACAGCCGCACCAACAACCTCAACCCCAACTTCAACTCCCTCCTCCCCACCCACCAAAAACCCACTACCACCACCCAACGGCTACCGCATATCCAACTACATGCTCATAAAACTCATGACGACCTTTTGCGTCGGCAAGACTGTCGCCGAATGGCTCAAGGGCCACATGGATTCCGGGTTCGACGTCTTGCGGTACGTAGACGTGCGCCGCTTGGTCCAGTTCGGCGTCATCAAGGGGTGTCTGTACCGGGTGCACAAATACGTCATTTCCAAACAGTACCTGGCTGCGTTGGCTACGGGGTTGGCTAGGCCTGTTTCACCTTCTGTTTCTGGGTCTGCTGCTGCAGCCAACAACAACAACAACAATACCAAAGGAAAGGGGGCAGACAAAGAGGAAAAGCCAGCAGCGGTGCCGAGAGGCCATTACGATACTTACCGCGAACCCGTTGCTGGTGCTGCTGGAAGTCATGGGGGTGGGGGTGGTGGGGGAAAGGCAAATAGAAAACTGGCCATGATGATGATGAAAGCCAGCGGCGACCCTTTGCAGAGGTACATGGACGGACGGCACTGTTTTGACCAGATCATGACGGAGAAAAACATGACGGATGCGGAGATTATGGATAAGTTGAGGAATTTCCCCGTGCCGGCGGGGGATTTGACGGTACTTTATCGGTGATTGGATGGATGGCATGGAGATAGATATAAAAGAGTTGGCTAGTAAGTGGTGGTGTTGATACTTTATTTAGCTCAGTGAAGCGACTGTGTGCGCAAGTCTTTCATTATATGAAAGAACTACCTTGCCGATTCAAGCAAGAGGGGACATGTTTTTGATTAAGCACGCTAAATTTCAAGTATGTAACCTCCATTTGTGAGGATACCCGGCAAAATGGGTGTTCTTGTTGCGGGCCTCCTCTCTGCCCTGGACTGCCTATCTGCTTTTCTCAGCAACCATCATCGCTAGGTATTTACTTATAACAACATCACTGGCACGGCCGAATAAAGACCTCATCAACCAGCAGGTGACACTGCACTCCTCGAATATCCTCCAAGCTTCTGTCTCCTTGATTTGTCGTTCAATGTGAATATCGGCATCTTCTTCAGGAACAGCAGATTACTGCCTATATCCGTTCCGCATTTCCGTACGCATCTGTCCACCAGCTAATAGACCATTTCATCTAAGAACCGCCAAGCAGATGCTCGATAGCACCCTGTACGCTACCTCCGCTTCGGCGCAGAGCAGCAACGTTCTGATCAAAATCGAAGAAGCCCATGTCGTTGAGTTGGCGCAGCTGCTCAGCGTACCTCTCCTCGGGCGGCCTGTTGTCGGGAGGAGCGGCGGGACTTCCACCAAACCCACCCATACCACCCATACCACCCAAACCACCGCCACCAAAGGCCTGCATCATCTGTTGCAGGGCCTCAGGCGAGATAGGGGGCAAATCGAAAGGGTTCGCGGCACCACCCTGACCGGGTTGGCCGGCACCCCCGAGCGCTCCGAACAGAGCTGCCAACGGGTCTGCTTGCTGTCCAGATCCTCCAGTAGCGCCAGCACCCGGGGCAGATGTGGCATCCCCAGTCCGGGCACTATCGGTCGAAGCTCCTGTAGTCGCAGGCGAAGCCCCCGGAGGGTTTCCGAAGAGCGCCGCGAAGGGATTACCCGCTGGGGGAGCACCCGCTGGAGGAATACCGAAGGGAGTGAACATGGCGAATGGGTTCTGCGCATTGGCATTCGCGTTATTGTCACCAGCACCGGTCGCCGCGCTCGGAGTGTTGTCCGTTACCCCGGGCGCTGGGAAGGCATTGGCGCCTCCGCCCATCATCCTGCGCATGCGTGCCGCCATGCGAATCGCATCCGGGTTCGTCATCATGTGGCGCATCATGGGCGAGTTGAGCAGTTCGCGAGCGCGATCAGCGGGCATGTTGGCCAACATCGGGTTGGAGGCAATCATCTGGTCGATAACGGCGGGGTTGTTGAACGCCTCGGCCATGGCCTGGGCCATCATGGGGTTCGAAAGCATATCCGCCATTTCGTCCTCACTGGGGGGGGCGCCCATCTGTAGAGTATCATTAGTAAACAGATATGTTAAAAGGGTCAGGGGGGGGGGGGGGGGGGGGAAGGGGCGGCTTACTCCTCCGTCCGGCCCAAACAGGTCTCGGCTTGGTAGCGGCACCTGGCCGGCGAAACGAGCACCCGTAAGGCCAGCCAAAAGGTTATTCGAGGGAGTACCGGCAGCCATGTTCTGAGGTATCGCGGGCTGAGCGGGTGTCGAGGCTGAGCCACTGCTAGCTGTCGCCGCGCTGGCTGGGCGCTTGACCATGTGCACTGTGTTCATGTGCTTAATCTTATAGGTACTAAGAAGCTCATCGTCCTTCATCACCTTTCCGGAGTAGATTAGGCGTTGTTGCTCGGGCGCGATGTTCTCGTATTCCTCCCCCGCCAACAGGGTCTTGAGCTGAAGGACGGTCGCGGATTCGGCGATGGTGACTGTGTGATTCTTATCGCCTGAGCATTTGACCTTGAAGGTAATCTGGCCATCGCCGCCAGCATTTGAACCTTCAGTCATGATTCTTGTGGACTTTGCGATTTGGGGATTAGACTCGGTTAACAGTAATGGCGGTCGTGGATGATGACGTTGGTCTCAGGGGAGCTCGGATTGCCCGTCGTTCTGGTTCGGCGCGTTGTGATTAGGGTATCTGATAAATAGCTGAGAATAAAGTTCCTATGTGGAGAAAATGCTTGCTAGCAGAAGACGAAAGATGGTGATGCAGAAAGGAAGTGTTGTTGGGAAAGTGGTTCACAGTTGTTGTAATGTTGGTTATTCACAGGAGGAGGCCGATAAGCGCTGCCGTCAACAGTGGCAGGTGGCATCATGAAGTGGCATGGAAGAGCCATTCACGGCAGGCAGCAGACCCCACTACAACAATCCTATATTTGATTGGTCAATTATGGTCTGGCCACCGAGGTTCGTGCCTTTTGGGCTTCACTTCTTTCGTCCAACACTATCACAACCCTAACCCCAAGAAACGCCCGTTATCTCAGCTTTCCACAGGACCGTGCAAGATTTCTTTTAAACTGCCATCTCCTCTAGCGCAGTTCGATCAGAAACATCCATCACGATGTTCCTCCCTGCTTAAAACGGCGCAATCCATAATATCTACGGTTGCGACCCTGCGTGTCTCAGTGGCGAACCATCTTGCCAATTCTGTCAGCTGTCACGCCCACTCTCCTATTCTCAACACTATCAGCTTCTTCGAGCTTCTACCGGGCTCTTGGCATCCACGAGGGTGACACGCATGTATGTGGTAACAGGGTACTCTCGAATAATCTCTCCTCCGAGTTAAAATGAGGTACCTTCTAAACTGACTGACAAACCTTTTCTCTGATTTTGAACACGCCCGCCTTCTTCAGTTGGCAGACTGCCAGACACTCAGTCTCTGCCCATTGTTTACATTATTTTCCGGCCCGTGGAGAAATTCAACGCGTTAAACGTCTCGCCAGCATTCCCCTTGATGCGCAATGAGCCTATACAAAGGCTCAGTGACCCTCGGCCGACCATCAATTCGTGGGATGGTCTTTTGTTAAGATCTTCCGTTGAGCCTGCGAATATGATCGCATTCGAAAACAACCCACCTCTTCGACTGATTGCTAGCGCTTCATGCGATAGCAACGTTAGGGAACTGCCAGATCAACCTCGGCGGACTAAGAAACCGGAGTATATATGACCGGAATGTGCAACTCAGAGTTCATGCTCCTTGTCGACCATGCCAGGATACTCCAGTAAGTGAATCAACGACTATCAAAACCTAATCCTTCAACGCCTTGGTCCATTTAAGACGCATCTCTAACCGTGCTGTAGGCCATAACGCCTAGGTATTTCTTGTTCTTACTGCCGCCCAAACAAGGGTACGACGTGCCTAAGCGACCATTGTCTTCCATGGTTTCCTGTGATCATGGAACTATTACGCTATTATAAGCTTTCTGACAATGCGAGATGTCGGCGGGCCAGCAGCGAGCACCACCACGTTGATGAGCGCTCTGCTCCGTTCATCCTTCTGAAGTGGAGTCGGTGTCGGCATGGGCATGGACAGAGGAGGAGCTCAGCGCTTCCCCAAGAGATGGTCGTTGACATAGTGTTACGCGTGCGACGCCGGTCATGTGGGCTGTTGAATACGGGATTTAGCGGACAGGCGCTTCTCGGTTCGATCGCGTGGGATGCAGTCTTCCGGTTCTGAACCTCGAAGAAATCCACTCTCGGGCTTCCTCAAGGGGAAGGTCGTTCTGCCGGGTTAGACCGATTTCCGGCAGCCTTATGGGCGGACAGCGCCATGATTCGAAGGATCTATTGAAGACACCCTTGCTCGCTAGCAAGATCCCAAACTGCATTCTTTACGGCGTGGATAGGCATGTTTGTCCTGTATCTAGCCGAAGCGCTGTTGGGCTCACAGCGAAGGCCGTTTCGAGTAGGATCCATCATCAATATGGGTTGGAGGAAGAAAATTGGACGGCTTCTCACTTCCAAGTCTGCAATGGTAAGTTCCTACCCGCTGCATAAATACGGAATCCGCATGGAGAAGATGATTCTTCGGGTCCGGCTTGTTTTGGTTGTATGACCAGACGTTGTCATCACCAAGGTCCGAAAAAACAGAGCGCCGATTCACTTCCACGCTAGTCGAAATGGAAGGTCCCGTCCGCTGCATGTCTTTCAGCTGCAGATGGTCTTTTTCCATGCCGGCAAGCCACATGAGAAATTGGACACAACAGGAGTTGCCATATGGACGCGCAAGGCACTATGCCAGGACTCCTGGTCTTGAAGCTCTGTGAGGGCCATTGACGGTTTCGGGCAGGGAGCATCGGAGAAATACCGACCAGCTAGAGAAGAGCTTTCCATGACACGACTGGCGGCTGTGCAACTTGAAGGTGCAGCATCGACTACCAAGATGTCGCGTGCAACTTTCTCTTCGGACAAGGGGGCTTCGAGCTACTAGTTCTGCTGAAGACATGGCAGCCCTTCACGGTCCAAGGTAGACAGCCGGACATCAAACCACTTTGGGCTGGTTCCTGGACGCCCGCGGGTGTTGTTAAAATTGTTGAGTTGACTGCATGATGCGTCGTCTACGTCCAAGAACTGACCAGGATCCAATCCAGCGATGCTGTCAGTATCCAATACTTGCGTTGAATTTGGACACCACCATCGGCCTGTTGTAAGTGACGCGGGTTTTCGGACCGGTGTGGAACACGTCACAACATGGCGAGGATACGATGTCAATGGGGGCGCAAAAAGAAAGAAATCGGAGGTCGCGTAAGGTGTTGAGACCGAAGTGTCGGACACGCAGCGAGGCTTTGTGTTTGTTGTGTTGAGGTAGGTTGAGGTTGAGGTTTGAGGTTCGTGATCATGATGATGATGCGCTGCCACCTGACGTGGTAGAAATTCAGGAACAGAAGCCCAATTGGCGCTGGCCAGTGGCACGCAGGGTTAGGTAGGTACGCTACCTATCAGCTGTACCTAACAAAATCCTCTGTGACGGCAGGGGGTTTTACTCCCCAGTGATGACTAATTTGGTAGGGTCTTCTCAGGAACTGCCATGTGGAAGGCACGGCTGGCTGTGTGTTTTAGGACGTTACATCATTCCAGATCGGGCTTCCTCGCCATCTTTCAACGGGCAGCAAAACGTTGA